TTAGATAAATCCTAATTGAATTCTAAATAAATCCTAAAAAATTGTAATCAAATATTAAAATATCCTTATCAAAGCCTAAAAGGTTTTAATCAAATCTTAAAAAATCTTAATTAAAATTTAAAAAAAACTATAGTAGATTAAAAATCTTAATTATTAGTTAATACAATCATTGATATTTATTAAATAAAGTTCACTTTTTAATGTGATAGTTGAAAATATATACACAAAAATAGATAAAAAATAAAACTCATAAATTGAAAGAATGTCCTTCTAATCCACTCAAGAGTTGGCCATCTTTCTTCTCCAATCTTCACTTCAATCTTTTAGCATCAATAGCTCTTTTTTTCATTATTTACTTGCTTTCAAAATTTGTGCAAATATTAAAAACTAAATTAATATAAGCATATAAAAATAATTATAATTCAACCAAAAAATTATTCAAATTTTTAGAAACCCTCAATTATATTTAAAATCTAATTTCTAAGATCTTGATTCACTTGAATTTTAATTTCCTTTAATTTAGCCTTTTTAATGAGGTAAATGATACAATATACATCTAATACAACTATATTCACAAACTCACAAATTTTTACTTACATATTGCTACAAAATGTATAAAATTTACTAAAATATAATTTCATTTTTTATTCTATAAAAATCAAAGACATCCAAAAAAAACTCCAATTTTGCAAAGCTCTTACAAAGTTATTATCAATTTGATTTTTTTCAAAAAAAATTCCTAAACAAATCCTATCAAGTTTTTTTTCTAATGCTACTTTCCAATTAAACAAAGAATCCTACACTTACCATGGGTGTACAATTTTGTGTCTGAAGGTTTGATTTTGATCTAAGCTTACTACCAATTATCTCTAAGTATCAATTTAAATTTCTTTTAGATAATTTTGGCTAAAAGCTATTTGATTTTTATCTAAAAATTATTATGATATTAATATTATTAATTTATTTTTATTTTATAATGCAAAGTAGAATTGTTTTATAAAAAGATATTATTGTCACTACCTTTTGAACTTTTACTTCTATTTTTTAAAATAATTTTTTACAATACTTTCAATTAATTTTTTCTATAATATAATCCTTCTTTTATTTTTCTTTCACTCAATAGTTGTGTTACAACAAAAAAAACAAGAACAAACACATACTATTTTTTTGTATTTTAGCCTCACTACTGCCACATTCAAGAAAATCTTTCAACAATATGTCCTAATATAGAGCAAAGAGTATTTCTCAATCGCAACATGATATGTGACATCCATGTCTTTATGTAATCATTTTTTTGATAGATCTAACTATAAATTGTTTTTCCAAAAAAATGGATCACAAGTTTGTAATGACCAATGTGCAATGACATCAATTCTTTAGAAAACCTCATCTCTTTTGGAAAATGTAATTGAAGTTGACAATCTATTAGTACTTAACTAACAACTTTTTAAGTAAGACCAAATATATAATCAATCATATTTTCAACATATATGAATAAATTATATTAATTGATAGTAAAATTTTAATTAATAAATTACTTAGAAAAATTAGAAATATTATTGGTTAGGTTTGAATTGATTATGTTTGAATTAAAAGTTGATTAGAGAAAATAAGTTTGAGGTTTTAAAAACTAAAATTTTCAATTGATACATTAATCATGCAAAAATTTGGATAAACAAATAAATAGAATAGGTCAAAAATTGGTCTAATGATATCAACATCGGTCTTGAAGATTGGCTTTAGGACATAACAAGTTTTAAATTTTAGTAGCTTTAGAAATAAATAAATAAATAAATAAATAAAAACTTTTTTTTTATAGAAATAGAAGTACAAAATGGATTAGATTAAAAACTGGATATTAAAGCATCAACCTTCTTAGGATAGAATATAAAGACTTTAAAAGTATGATTTTTTCTTTTATTTAAGTAGAGCTTTTAATTTTGAGTATTACACATATTCAATTACAAAGAATTTAGTAAGATGTTGAATTTTATTAGGTTTTTGTTTTGGAAAGAATTAGGAAAAGTGAATGCAATTGGTGATAGATAAAGGCCCAATACTTTCTTAAGCAAGATCCTCTTGTCACAAAAATGTTAAGAGGGCTCAATAAACATCTTATTGAAAACATAAACAAAATCCATTCTATGTTCAATTTGGACAATAGTCAAACATTTGGCATAATAGGTAATAATTATATTAAGTATGCAGATGTTGTATTTGGAGGGGAAGAAATGACAATGATTGTTTGGATCATGAAAAGAGCATTAATCCATATTGAAGCACCAATAATAATCTTTAATAATAAAAATTGGTATTATCAATTGTAAAGAATGTCAAATAATACTAAAAGAGCCAATTATTGTACATAACTAAAAAGATGGAACAACAAGAAGGTATTCTTGCTATAGTTTATGGAACTATATACTTACCAACTCAATTGATATGGGTAGCAAAAGACAATCTTTTTGGAATAACCATAGAGTATACAACAACTTTGTTATGTTTTATCAAAACATGGCCTACACAAAAAGCAATTCCTATTTTTTTGCACCTTATGTATCCAACAAGGTTCAATCAACAACTTTGTTTGTGATCTCTAAGATTAAGGATGTTTGGGCCAAGCATTAGAATTAAAAAAAAGATAGAAATGAGCTAGGAGCTAGATTGATCAAACAATAATTGCTCTAATGGTTATTAATTTGATAATTTGATAAACTTAGAGAAGTTATTTTTCTTCCAACTTACAACTAATTTTGTATGAAATTTTAACTTATAACATAATGCAAGCCACTTGACTTATGCGCCTTAGGCCATGATTCAATACGGATTGACTTTGTTGCATAATTGACACCAAAGTTGCAAAGTATCATTGCCAAATACTGCAATCATTTCAATAGAAACATTGTCAAGGACATTTTAAGTTTGTTGTTATTAAACATTTAATAAATTTCTTCATTGCAATTAACTTAAATAATATACTCTTGATCCACACTAATTATTGTAGTCAATGTACTTTAGAATCACATATTGGATTGTATTCTACTAATCCTTGTATAAAACCAATTGTTTCTTCACCAAAGGCATTATATGTTTATCCTACTAATCATTTTTTTTTTTTTTTATTAAAATAAGTTTTACCTTCTATACTTTAAAGAAATCTTTTTTATCAAATGTTTATAAATGTCATATAGTTTATATGAATTAATTAGAAGATAAATTTTATTTTTAATAAATTATTTTATTTATTATTTCAAGAAAATTTTAAATCTTTTTTCTAAAAGTAATTACAACCAAAGTTAAGTATTAGCTATTTTGGAATTTTTTATTAAAAGAAAATTTCCAAGTATTAAAATAAAGTATAAATAGAGGCTTTATATAATACATATTAAAAGAGAGATATAAAGCAAAAAAAACCATACTTGAAAGATCCATATTATTGATTTAAAAAAGCAAGAGATTCTTATTCTATATATATATATATATTTATTAGGTTTGTAATAGAATACTACATAAAGATTTTACAACATAGATTTAAAAAAATATATCTTTTTCTTTTTTGAAATCATCTTTTATAATATTATTGAAATATTTATAATTTTAACTATTTATTATCTATTCATAATTTATATTATTTTATATACATATAGTAGAATTATAAATTAATTTTGGAAATAGATGTTAACTTTTTACTTAAAATTATATGATTTTAAATTTTTTGTGTTTTTTATTCTGTTTAGTGTCATTGACTTTGATACCAAGTAATATTATAATATACAAATTATAAATGGTTTGTATTGTAGTGCTTTATGTATTTATTTATTTGAATACTCCAAAAATAAATAGTTTCTACTTTATTATTATAAAACAATTGATAATGATGTATTTCAATAGAACTCAAAAGCAATATCTTTTCCAAAAAATTGTTAATATTACTAACCAATTACAAATTTTAATATCTGCTTCAACTAAAATAAATAACAATAATTTCATTATTGAAAAAACTCCAACTACATAACATCATTTTAGAATGTAAATTTTAAACACCATATAGTCTTTTTAATATTTGATTATATTAACATAATTACACTTACTTTTATACCTTTTCATGGAAGCCTCTCTCTCTCTCTCTCTCTCTCTCTCTCTATATATATATATATATAGTAGCTACCATATAATACATAGAAAATGAATAAAAATATTTTTAAAAAATTGCTATAGCATTTTTTTTTATTTGTACACAATTACCTTGCGTTTAGAAATCATGAACTCTGTTGCGAAAACATTGCAGTAACATTTCGTGCAAAAAAAAGAGTCGATAATGTCGATAATTTCCTTAAGGATGCTCAAGCCTTGTGGCAAAACTCTCAAAGGTTCGTATCGTGATGCCTCTAGTAGAATAATACACCGAAGAAGACTTACATACAACAACTAGTAGGAGTTCACTGGCTGCATTGGCTAGTTCGAAATGCTCAATTTGATAATATTTGATAACAGCAGGATAACTAAGGAAGTATTTCCTGTATTTCTTCTTGCAGGAGGTCCTTTTGGATCCACCACTCTGCAACTCTAACTCTTCGCAGTGATCGTGTAGAACTCGTATCAACGACAATGCTACATACCGTACTAGATGCCTACCACGAGGAAAGTCTTGTATAAACTAAACGAGAAAACGATGTATAGAAGCCGCGAAGGACACTAGGTGCAACGCAAATGCTTTAGAGCCCCATCTATAATGAAATTCTTACCAAGGGTCAGAAATGATGCCATTTTCATATACATACCCAGGCATCAGACAGTTATTATAATCATGGCTACAACACTCTGCCTTTTTCCCTTGAATTTATCAACTATTACAGGAACAACGCTCTAAGTATGACTGAAACTGAAAGAGGTAAACAAATGAACAAGTTTGACGAAGCTCGATGTCCACCGCTTTCGCATAGCAGCAAGATGGCAGATGTTGAATTAATACATGAATGTCATGCATGAGACCGAACAAATTGGGATGTTTGACCACATGAATGATCCGCAAAGAATGATTGGAGTAAGATGTATATGGTATCTGGTACCATGAGATGGAACATTAATTTAGTTCTCATTGAAGCTCTTAGAAAACCTAGCTGGTCTGATTTTCACCCCTCTATATACCAACAATCTAAGGGCGTTAATGAAGAATTTATACCTGACTAATTCATTTGATGGAAAAGTATGACACATTAGATACATGCCCTGTCATAGGAAAATTATACAAAAATTAGCCCCTGTTCTGAGAGGACTGGAAATCTCTAAGTTCACACTAGCCTAAGGGACAGTCAGTCTGAAGCTCACCTAGAGAAGCCAGGGAAAAATTGTTCGCATGATATGAAGTGCTCGCTTCTGAGGGTGCCAGCCTTCTTGCATGGAATTCGAATGTTAACAGAGGCCTTCACAATCGCAACATCACTGTGAAAGTGAGGGAAGGTCTCAGAATCGGTAAAACAGAGTGGTTTACATCCTCATGCAAGGGCAAAGCAGAGTGTTGTCTGCCTGAAAATAAAAAGGACATCACACAAATCTGAAATGACTTTCAACTCTGTAGCGGGTGTATTATTCAAGCTTAAGTATAATAAGGAGTCAGTGTAAGAAAAGAAACAATTCACCTCATGATCACCAGTCACCAGTCGGCTCAACAAGTGGTGACGCCCGCTCACGAGTGTCCATGTCCTTGTCTACATAGGCGCACGGTTCATTCCCCTGTAGGCTCTGCTTGATGACAGGCATTGGCTGAGCCTAGGGATGAAATTTGACTCCATGGGAGCTGAAGTTATGAAAGAGCGATGCAAAGTTGTGCGGCATTATCAAACCCCTCTCCTGAAGATATTGCCTCTACTGAGATATGAATTAATCTCAGAAAGGATCATTGGAAATGATCTTGAAAATTAAGTATGAAAACGAAGGAGTTTCTCATCATTGTACCTTCAACCTTTTGACGGAGTGTTCTGATTCAGTATCATCAGCTGTGCAGGTCTCATCTGCAGTTACCACAAGGCACATCAGCAAAGAAGCTTTTACACCAAATCAGTTGGACTTGTATGACTAATTAACCTTCAATATTTGCTCAAGTCATATGACCGGATTTGCGCCTTTCTCGAGTCATAACCTACCTTGTGAACACATAAGCTTATGTCGATATTGTCTATTCTTCTAAAGCAGGGGGTGTCCAGTTGAGAAACCTCACAACCAATGTCATGTACAAACTACTTTTTAGTACATTTATCAGACTCACAACCCATTTGATATCCAAAACAAAGGTATCCAAAAGGAGCATCCAATATTCATAAAAACTACACATAACAGGGGAATCACTGTAGGAGAGAGAGACGAGACTCAGGAAAAGATCTAAAGTACGGAAAGTAACAGATTCGAACCACAACCGAACATGAGCAAACCTCCACAATGGCCACATCCCGAATGTCAGTATTAGCTTATCATACCTATCCGAAATTCTAAAGATACTCGCTTTAGTATAAACATGCATCTTTAAACCCATTAACTAAATTGTTAAGTTCAATTGCACACCAAGGACACTACACATGATTACTCGAGAACAAAACTTGTGCTACACTTGTCAGGAGAATACCAGTAAAAACACAGAACTTAGATTATTCCATAATCAAACAACTGCACTCAGATAAATTTCAGATAAGAAATTCAAAATAAAAAAGAATTGAACAGAGGCTTGAAACTAATATCACATGTAACCCAGAAAAAAATAAATAAATAAAAAAAAACGTTTATTAAAATCAACGAACTTGGCTGACCTTGAAGCGTTGACAAGGGTTCTTGACGAGGATGTTTACGCTTTAACCGCTTCACTACCCCATCATAAAGCTCCATGACTGCCTCGGGACATTTTTTGGAGAATGTATCATACCCTTCAAGTGCTGACACGTCATCAACTTCCTTTGCCGCATAGTCGATTACTCCCTCTTTCACAACATCAGAATTGTGTCTCCAGCCAACAACATAGGTGACTAGCACTTTGGTGGGATTTAGAGACTGCAGAATTTCTTGTTCACAAAGTGATTTCAATGCTTCAATACCATACTTGTCTGCTGCTTGCAGAAGCTCAACCAAGTGATTCCTGAGGACAGCTTGATTAACGGTGGCTCTATAAAAGAAGAAGATAAAAGCATCCAAAGCTGGATAATTCATTTCCATATGCAGCGGGGTCCCTTCTGCCATGGGCATGCTAAACATGGCCTTGAAGACATCGGATTGACTGGCCTGATATCAAAGAAGGGAGTGAGTGCTTTATAAGAACAACAGCTCATATTTCATGAATTCGTCAGATCAGAAGTAACAAAAGGATAAGGTGCGCAGCAGTCGCACTTTCTAAGAAACTTGCATTCTTCATAGTATACGCTACATGAGTAGGTAGTGGGTAACCATGAAAAGAGTTTCTCAATTGCAACGTAATCGATAGCTTAGGCAAAGTTCAACTCACCAAGACGGCTCTGTGTCCGTAAACCTTGCGACCATCTAGTGACTCGAAGACAACATCTGAATATGGTGGAGGTATGTGATCTAGATCCCCTGTACCGTCAAACTCCTTGCCCTGCAACCTCCTCTCGAGATGAACAAGTCTTTCCTTTGTTTTTTCCAACTCTTCAACCAAACCACGGTATTGTTCATAGGCGTCCTTCGAGTGAGTGTCTTGTTTGCATGTGTCACAGCCAATATATTCTTTGTACATAGTTAGCTCGGACCCTTCTGACCCAACATCTTGACAACAAAGATTGGCGCAGAGATCCCGGCTGTATGATTGGATTGCCATTGTTTGTATACCTGTACCTGCAGACTGAATGAACATGACAAACATAATTAAACAATCAGTATTCTAAGGAGTCAAGGGCAATAAGCACCACTATCTGTAGAACAGTTACCCTCGCGTCATGTATTGATCTGGCCGATTCTTCTCATTATCAAAAATGTTTACATTATTTAGTGGCCTTCTGAAAACGCCAACATGCTACCTGTGGCTTCTTGGACAGTTCCATTTCTAATGCCAGAGCTTTCGACCAATCAATAAGCCTTCCTGTTGATTTGTCGACCTCTCCTGACACAATCCGCTGCATTGCTCTTTCCCGAATGCCCTCGAATTCAGGATCATCCCTATAGATATAATGTGAAAAACAATGCCTTGTCAAATAGTACACAATAGATATAAAAAAAATCTAGTAAATGAGCGAGGAATTAATGAGTAAAAATACGCTACACCAAAAGGATAGGAAAGTAAGAGAAGGGGAAAATACATTAACACAAAATCATAAATCCTACCTAGCATACGTTCCAGCAACTCTAGGACCTGTTGCAAGCATGTCTTGATCAATAGGTACTCCAGCGTATTGCAATCTGCACCATCAAAAGTCTTCACAAGGTCAAAACTAAATTCAACAAAGAGACTCATATGCTGATTCATGGGATGCATAATTGGTTTTCCATTAACACAAACATGTATGAATAGCATGCCACAAACGTTGAAGACATTGGTAGGTACACAGCACTCAAATAAATTACATTTGAAGTAGATATACCTTCCAAGACCAGTAGTCCGCCCCGTCTTATTGGTGTAGTATTCTCCTCCAAGACCAGTTTCTTTAGTCATCATCCTCAACCAGCTTGCTAATGTTCTAACTCCCACAGGTGACCGTGTGTACCACTACAAAAGTGTTTTCAAAGAGACACAAGACAAACTAAAAACATGAGAACTTATAAATTACTCGAATGTTAAAAATTATTAATGTTCAAGAATAGAGCACTATTGAGCCAGGTGTTACTGTGAAAATTGTGCATCTGTTCTCTGTACTTCCAACAGATAGATAAGCTAGACATCTTCAATTATCACGTGAAAGCATATCAAGATCACGAAACCACTAAGCCTCTAGCTCACCACAGTCCTTGACGTTGGATTCTTGATATCGGTGAGAAAAAATGGCCGTGGAGGAGGCTCATCTTCAGCCCATTTAGGTTTATGTTCTACCATGATTTTATACGTCGACACAACATCTTCAATGTAGCACGTCACGGGACGAGAGAATTTCTCAGGTTGGCTTTGCGGGCTATCAGAACTCCAACTTTTGGGACGCTTCTCATAGCTGTTTAAAAGGTAAAAGTCAGAAATTTATCCGAACAATAAAGAACCAGTAGGAGCGACAGCGCAGAGTGAATACATTGCAAAGATAGAGTCAAGAAGATAACCAGGTTTGGGGCACCAATATTGAAGTGTATATGAGACGAAATAAACAAAGTAGATAACAGAATGTCTATGTATAAGCTTCATGATCGAGATTGACAAACTAGAAAATTTTAAAAACAAAATAAAGATAAAAGTCCGAAGGTGCGAAGCAAAGATCCATGATTTCAGGTGTGCTATCTAATGATGCTGGTAATATCTGGTAACTTGCCGCGCCTCGGAGTAAGTGTAAGCTATCAGAACGTGCAAATAATAGGGTATAAAAATCGTACCGCAGGAACTCGCCGTGATGATCCTTTCCGAGTGAAAAGTCCATGTCTGTAAGTTCATGAAGCTCTGCTGGGCCACGGATGAAAAAATTCCGAGTGCAGAAATACGCAAACCGCATGGAGCACCCCTTTGCAGTTGTAGCCTTGTAAGTAGAAAGAGCAAGCATGGCCGCTTCATCATGCAAAGTTAAAACATCGATGCGCTTGCGTCTTTTCCCCAAACCGAGCCTACCAGCCGAAGCTACATTATCGCTCACAGCTTGTCGGGCTTTCTTGAATCTAACATCTGACATTATATTAAACGGTACCTCAGGTACCTGTGTCTCAGCAATACGAACCTCTTGATGAGCACGAATAACTCGACCCAAGGCCCTGAGAAGGCTTCCAATGCTGTCATACACCAGGGATATCACACATGTGCGAGCGTTTGAGATAGAGATTCCTGCATAACTTACTCTTTCACCAAAATAAATTTGCCACTATTTGATCACGAAATTCGAACAGAATCCATGGTTCATTGGACATTCTGTGAGCACAATAGATAAACATCAAAGCAGAAACTAAGAGGTATACCAACTACTCACGTCTCAGGAGGATATTCCTTGCCATTCTGTTTACGCACTTGAGTAAGGAAAAGTCCCACGAGCTCTCCCAACTCCTTCATATCACGATCACACAAATCTTCAATAGATTCAGTGGTGGGTTTCTTGTTCACACCTCTCCACGCATCAAACCTAGCCCGTGCCCAAGACTCGGCCCGTTTGCTCCTCCGTTCGTCTCGAAGAGCATTCTGTGAATCTTCCCCACTAACAGCATTCGCGTTCTGCTCAAAAGATTCAGCTTTGCCATCACCAATTAAGTCATTACCATCAGATTCTTCGCCATCAGATGGCACATCATCGTCATCTAGGTTCCCCGGTCCCTGACTATTCATGTCAACCACGGCCTCCATAGCTGCATCATTATGCTCAGATTCTTCCCCATTTGACACAAGTTCATGCGCCAACGTTAGAGAGTGAGGATGCACCAGAGGATCAAATGGAGGAGGGCGGACATGCAAAGCCTCCGCTGTCACGTCTAGGGGTAGTGGACCAGAATTCGAAAGTGAAAAAGATGTACCACCATTAATCGTCAGCTCCCCCATAGAATCTGCCATCTATTTAATTTTATTAAATCTACGATACTTTCACCTGCGCATGTATACCAAAACGAACTCAATCACCACAAAGATCTTCGTATGATCAGCACTCAAAAAAAATCAGATAGAAAGTACATAATTTCGAGAAAAAAGAAGGAATGCAAGGAGCAAATCCAACAGATTGAAATAGCACAACCGCAAAACAAACGTACAAGATAGTCGAATGCTGTAAAAAGAAAAATCTCACTCATGCCACAATGCACGACACCTACTCACGGTTGAATCGTATCCGACTCTAATGATCCTAAAAGACAATATACCAGATTCAACAACAAAAGGTTCCTGCAAGAAAAAGTAGTGTTTTAAATCAAAAATGTAGTCACCCGATGAAGAGGAGTCTTCCATGGTTCCTCACAATCACGAACATGTACTTTGGTAACTAGGACTCAAGAAAATGTCACAATACTGCAACAATGCATATCCTCCAAGAAGGACGATCAGGCATAAAAAGACTCTCTAAGAGAATGATAATACTGCAATCAACGGGAGGCACTGAAACAAAGAAGTGTTAGAAATAAGTTCAAAAAACAGCGACCAGAAAAACATGAGAGTAAAGAAATTAAAGAATGAGAACTTCGTTCACATAGAACAGCAGTGAGAAGGCCCGCTCGGGAGTGTTTCAACATTAATGTCGTTGACCTGAAATTTCCATGACGGAAACAGCAAGAAAGAAGCCAACAGACACCCGAAAAAAAAAAAAAACTGCTAAAAACTGCTAAAAACTGCCTGTATTTGCAGCATTCCAAAATAAACTAAGTAACAGCCGAGGCATGCATATTTTCAAAAAAAGATCCTACGTTTTCTCTGTATCGCAGACCTTCGCTCAATTCACTCAATTTCGAAATGCAAGACTTCAAGACCGAAAAAAATGAAAAATGAAAAAATGAAAAAAAATAAAAGAAAAACGATACACCAGGAAACCGAACATGAATTTTATACGCCTGAAATTACGAGCACAGTAATGAGAACGACATCACATCTTTAAATCCAGAACCATGGTCGCAGGTAATGTGAGAGTTTCTCGACTTTGGAGCAAAACGGGCAGAATATTTAACGCATTGAGGCAAGAAGCATATCAATCGAGAGAACAGCGACGGGCGAGGAAAATTGAGTAAAAGCAATGAAGGTTGGACATAGAGAGAGGCCATGGAAGCGCAATCAAGAATCCGGGAAGAAGGAAAAAAACCAAAAAAAAAAAAAAAAAAAAACCAACACAAATAAACAGGGAGAAAACTCACCCTCGGCAACGATCGGAACACCAGGACTATTCCGGGTGTAAAGCCCTGTGAGAACCTCGGAACCCAGAGGTAGAAGACAACCGCTTGTGTGGAATCCTGCGGCGGCTCTGCCCTACTGCTCCCCAGAATGTCCCTCCGCATCTGCCTCCTCCACGACGGTTGTGGCGTCGGAACGGTGCTGCCTCGGGTTGGAATCGACGCCCTCGCCACTCGTAACCCACACCCCCACGAAGGAAGAACCGTCTAGAATACCCTGATTCGTCGGGCACCCGTGACCGTCCCCCTCTCCCATCACCACCTCAATCCTGCCTCGATTGAGCTCATTCGCTGGTTTGTCGCTATAACCATGTTTGAATTTTGGACCAATTCAAGATTGTATTAATTTATATTAGCCATTGGTTATTTTTACATTAAATTTTATTTGGATATCCTTTAGGACTTCAGCCTAGAGAGAAATAGCAGCTGCATGGTTAACCCTAGTATCGTATATTCTTACTAAAAAATAATATTGTATATAAGCCGAATATTCCTAAAATATTCTCGGATGTATTTCAAAAATAAAAAATAAACTTTGTATTAAAAATGAGTCCAAATTTTTTAATTTGATTTTTTATTTTAGAATTAGGTTTTGAATTCATTTTAAACATTGGCAAAATTATTATACATTTTCTTTTAGTTCATTAGAAGCATAAGAAGGTTTATGTATATGTATCTAAATAAAAAAAAATATATATTATTATAAGCAACTCAATTTGAATTATGCTAAAATAAAAGATAATACAACATAAATATTTTTGTAATGTTTTCCACAATTTATTAGAACTTCACCATTGTGCATTTAAATTATTCCAAAAAAATTCTATAAAATTCACTTGACTCCTTTATTAGTTTAAAAATTGCACATTTTGGTGGAGAATCCTCAAATTTATTAAAAACTTCTAAAAGTTTCATGTTTCCATTCATAATTTATTTTAACCTTTTAATGGTAAAATTTGCTTCTATAAAATTTCTCAATAATTATTTAATTCTTACCTTCATTTAAAGCCCTATTAAAAACAAAGAACTGTTTCTACCTAGTCAAAGACCTTGATTTGATATTTTAAACTAAATTAAAGTCTATTTGATTAAAAATAAAAATTATAAAATTTTGTTAGAATTAAAAATGGTTAATTCTATCTATAGTAATCCTTAAGTGATTTGAATCACCACATCTCAACTTGTGAAATAATATCCTCTCTTCCTAAACTTTCATTAACAAGACTGTTATTCTTAGAAAGTATTTATAAAAATTAAAAAATTAATATCAATTTATTAAAAAAATTTAAGACTATATCAAAGATTTACATCACTTGAAATAACCACAAATTATATCCAATAATCTACTATTACTTAAAATTCACCATCTTCAATAAAAATAGACTTATAAATACATGTACTAAATACTTGATATTTTTTTTAACTTCTAATTTAGCAAACATACATAGATCTCTCTATACAAATGTGCAAAAGTATTACTAAACTCTTTTTTTTAAGATATGAAATTACATACATATAAGTATTAATAACATTACAAAATAAATTTCCAACAAGATTCTACTCTTCTATTTAAAAATTTGTGACTTCTAACACATCTAAAACTTAAAATTAATATATTTTCAAACACTATATATATATATATATATATATATATAAGACTTATTTAAAACATAAAAATATATTAACAATAAAGCAATCATATAATTGAACATCCAAGCATGTATGGATTTGTGACTATTGAAAAAAGAAAATAAAATCAAGAATAAGTATAAGCATACTAATAAGATGTAATAAATATTAATATAAAATATAAAATAAGATCTTGTTTCTAAAACTATTATTTATATACTAATTTATTTTCTACAATTATTATCACAAATCTGCAAATTTTTACTTATAGATCTACAGTAAGACTCACAAATAATACAAGAGTCTTTGCAACTAAGTTTTAGAAAACAAAATAATTCCATAAAATAATTTAAATTTAGGTTTTGTGCTATTACACAACTTCATAACAAAATATATATATATATATATATATATATATATCTTTTCATATTATTACATAACTTTACAACAACATGTGCATGTGTACCTATAAATGTATATTAATAATAGACAATTAGCTATTGGAAATAAAATGTGGACTTCATAAATTTTATTATTGAAGTTGGCCACTTTTTTAGGTCATCAAAGCTTGATAGAATATTAAAAACTCAAAAAGTTAAAATATGTATAGATGTGAATAATTTGTATAAAAGACCACCAATCATATGAGATTATGAAATTTGATAATGGTTTTTCAAGTTACTTTAAATGCACATGGTGTGGAATAATTCAAATAAGTTCTAACTGATAGAAATATTACATATTCAAAAAAAAATCAGTGATTATTTTTTATATGCATTAACAAGAGTGATTTTTTCTTATTTATTAGTAGAATTTTAATTAGCCTATATTATTTTAAGTAGCATTTATTTTTTTTGAAAGTGTAATAGAAACCATCATATCATGTCTCATCAATTTTAATTTTAATTTTTTTTTTTCTGAATTATATCTTACATATAATAGCCTTACAATCTTTTTTCAATAATTTGTTAAAATTACCTTTTATCTACCTTTTAATCAAAATATATAATTTTTTTCACACACTCACACACACACACACACAAATATGTATGTATTTACACTACAAATTTAATACATCAAACTGAATAAATAACTAAGCTTCCAAACTACATCACAGCCCAACCCGTCGACTTTCGACTTTTTCCCTTCACTTTTCCGAAAAAGAAACCACGGTGGCAATCCAAGTCCGAGTCAGCACGCCAGCGCGAGGCATGGCAGACGTGGCGTGCCGGTGGTGAGGTGGAGGGGTGGGAGCGCGGGAGACCGGGTTGAGTGAGCAGCGAGTGATGTGACACGGCGTCGGGTAGGTAGAATAAGCGCGAGGAAGGGAATTTGAGACCAAGACTGAAGGAGGGGGGGGCATGTATGTGTTAAGGGCGACGTTGGTTGGTTCTGGAGCGCGTGAGCTTTGTCGTGTCGTGGCTATGGCGTCGTAGAATGCCGGCGATTCGCTGTCGTCGCGGGGGAAGCTCAATAACGCCGCCGCCGCCGACGACGACGACGGCAATTTAGCAGCAGCGTCTCCCTACAGTGCGGAAGTTTAGCCAGGTGAGAGCCATTTAAAGAACGCCGCAACAGTACCCCCTCCCCCCAGGGAATGAGGAGCAATGGTAGGGTGTCGTCTGTTTGTTTGCTGCTGTAGTTCTGGCCCCTCCCTCTCTCTCCTTTCTAGAATAAAGCTGTAGTGCTCTTGCATGGTGGAGCCTTCTGGTGCCTAGAATTTGTGTTAGGTGTGTGTCGTTTTCTGGTGCGGTTGGTAGGTTAGCGAGCGAGCGAGAGAGAGAGCATGAGGTGCCAACAAAGCGTGGTTAGGGAGGTGTACAACCGAGGTTTAGGTTTTAAAAAAATAAAAAGTGGTTTTCGTCGCGTGTTCAGCTCGTCACTCCGCGCTTCTCATTATTTCTCGTGGTGTTGCTGTGCGTTTTCCTGGATCGGGCGGGGGGTGGAATAATTGAGATGGTGACGTTGGTCTGATCCGACATGGAAAGTTCATGATTGGTCTCGTTTCGCTGCTTGTGTGTGCCTCTCCTTGCGTTTTTTGACTCCAGCTTCCCTATCTGTGAGGTAATGTGGTCCAATTCCAGCTTTGGATGCTGTTGGATTATCGATATCCCAATAATGCACCGAGGCCTCATCGGTGCTGGCAGTTGAATAACCTTCCCTGCCGGTTTTGGGTTCCGTACAATTATCAGTATCACTCAGCAATCATGGGTCTGTACGTCGTAATCACACTTCGTTTGTACTCCTGTATCGAGAAGTCATCTTTCAGCGAGAGTCGATAGCAGCAAAGTTGTTGGTCTTTATAGCATGACTTGCTGGTGCAGGTGTAGTGAATACCTCTGGTGTGCATCCGTGGGCGCGGGTTCTGTGATTGTATCTTACTCAGGCATTAGCATGTTTTAGTGAGAATCGCGGCACTTCCTTCAATTTATCCGAAGGGGTGGTTGAGCGACTCATGTTTCGGGTCCTTTCAGCCATTTAATCTGAAGGTGTTGGCGATTCTTTGGCCTCTTCCAGCAGCCTTCATTTCCAGAGAATGTACAGCGAGGTACAGTCCTTGTAGTTCTCATCAGTACATACTCTCCCCTGTCGCATCCTGTAAGCGGTACTGAGGTTTAACGTTGCGTTTTTCGAGGCTTTTAATTTGCAATTTCTATTTACTTGGGCTGCTGTTTCTGTTGGTCAAAATCTATTTGGTCTACCAATTTGTAGGCGTTGTGAGATAGTTTCAGGAGCGTTTGGCAATATCTGGGTTAGGTCCTCCTTTGGACGACTCCGTACCTTCCTCTAATGATTTAGTACCTCTTTTGAGAAGCTTATGCGTGCTTGATGATTCTCAACATCTTCTTTGGTAGTAGTAAGTCACGTAGCAAGGGCGGTCGGTTTGCAAAATTGTGGGTGCAATCGCTGACGTACTTCGCAATGTTTTGGTTTATTGCAACTGAGATCTTGTAAGCTTACCATACCTTCTACATGAAGGTACGAGTGACAAAAGCTCGAACCTTTTAACTTACCTTCGTTGGCCTTGAGTCAGACACTTGATCGATAAAAATAATAGTGTAAGTATTTCCGTCCTTTTATCTTCCTACTTCGCTCTAGTTAGCCCTAACGTGTCGACACATTGAAGAGTCCTCGAGTACTTGCCGAGCGTAGATGTGAATTTTCGTGGTGCCGACTTCAGGTTTCTAAGTTTGGAAGAGGTGTAAAGCAGTGTTTTAATACATCTTTACGTTAGGGCTTGACGTAGAGATGTTACATCGATTTTTATTTATTGGTATATCTTTGGAGTTCTAGTGGTTGAAGGAGTAGAAGAGTTTTTGTTTGGGTATGTGTAAGATACATGTCCAGTTGCTGCAAACATTTGCAATTGCGTTTCATGGTGATCGGGTAATGCGTCGCTTTGATCTGAACCTTGTACTTGACGTACATACTATCAATTATTTTTGTACTGATTCAGCGTACCGTTTATGATTCAGGGAGAGCGAACAAATTTGATTGCGATCCGTTAGTATTCTTTTACTGTAGGTTTCGGAGGCTGAGTTGAGAACGTTTGTGCCCTGGATCTTTCCAGATCGAAGGATTCTGTCGTCAGAATTGATCAGTCATTTCCAGCATATTTCCCTGTGAGTCTTTAGTGACCATGAGTCTCTTTCGTGTGGATTAGGGGAAGTGTTCGCTCTCACACTCAAAATGAGAACCTCCTAGTTTATACTATGTTTGAGTAAGGCTCGGATGAACACACTGCTTGTGCACACTGGTTGGGCTCCCTTGATACTGGTCTACTCTTGGGACAAGGAAGGAGTTCAATGAAATATTTACAAAGTTCATGTGAGGGCCTTCCATGCGGTAGTCATGACAGTGCCCGATAAACCTTCGGTTGGCCAAGGATCCCAATCTTAATGCTCTACGAAACCTGGGTTGGAACTCGTGGTTGACTCCACCCCGTGCGTAGGCCTTTTAGTGGTGTTAGAATTATGAGAACAATTTTTTCGACCATGGAGAGGAAATGGCGGATACCTCTTTTCGCCAGCATATTTATATCATTCGTACTATTACTAGTTGCCGGAACGAGTCTGAGACCTCCGGCAGGCTCATTTTTCAGTTTTCTGCAGAAAGAGGAGCCTTCCATTTTTGTAGAGGATAGTCTAGTTGGACAATCCGTGGTCACCTTGCCTGCTCCTCCTCGACTTGCGTATCTAATCTCTGGGAATAAAGGTGATGGGATGCGGATTCGGAGGACATTACAAGCTCTTTACCACCCGCGAAACTACTACGTGTTACACTTGGACCTTGAGGCCCCTCCTAAGGAGAGAGTTGAGTTAGCCAGATACGTGCGCTCTGATCCCGTTTTTCAACAAACCAAAAATGTAATTATGATTGTGAAAGCGAACTTAGTGACATACCGAGGCCCTACGATGGTTTCAACAACTCTACATGGTGCCGCAATACTGCTAAAGAATTTCCAAGACTGGGATTGGTTCATCAACTTGAGTGCCTCTGATTATCCATTGGCCACTCAAGATGGTTAGTATCTCACTCTATGCTGAAATGTTTTAAAGATTCTATTTAACATATTGATTCAATCCGATTGTTTGTACTAGAAGAGTACAATTTTGATTTTAATTTTCTTAAGCTCAATTTTTATATGCAGTTGCAAGCAGAAATGGAACGAAGAATATCATGATCAAGTGGTGCAGAGTTTGATCACATTTGGCGACTGTGTTTCTTAGATATTGTTCTAACTTGTTGGCTTCTAACCTCCAGCTTAGGAATTTCGCTTTAAAGCCGCGATTTTTACTAATCGTATTGCTTGGGTGTGAATTCTCAGACATTTTACACGTGTTTTCATTTTTGCCGCGGGATCTTAACTTCATTGAGCACACTAGCAACATTGGATGGAAAGAGTAGGTTCTCAGGTTTTCTGCACTGATTATCAGTATGAATATTTTCTAATTCTTTGATCACCATGATGATGATGATGATGATGATGATTAATGTGATGTTGCGTGGATTTTGGCGAAGGTCCTCCATTTGGATGAAGTTTTTATCCTTTGTATTTGGACAAGTCTATAGACAATTTAAAATTTTCCTAGTCTCTCTTGTGTTCTGCAGGTTCCAAAGAGCAAAACCTATTATTATCGACCCTGGATTGCATATGAACAGGAAGAGTGACATTTTCTGGGCTACTCAAAGACGGGCACTGCCAACAGCTTATCGTCTGTTCACAGGTGTGTTCTTCGTTTTTGGTGTTGTTTTGTTGGTTTTGTAAACCCTCCCTCTTTCTTTTTATGACGTCAGAAAATCTCTCTCTCGCCCGCTCTCGCTCTCTCTCTCTCATATTCCATAATCACCTTGATTCTGTATGATAGCTGGTTGGTACCCCTTATTCAAAGTCAGCCTCCATCGTTTAACATTCTGAAACGCCAATTTTCTGAATGTGACATTGCCTTCGGATAACATTAGTGACTTTTTTCCCTTCTTGATGCAGGATCTGCATGGGCGGTTCTATCAAGGTCGTTTATGGAATTTACGATCATGGGTTGGGACAATCTACCTCGAATATTGCTAATGTATTATACTAATTTTGTTTCGTCACCAGAGGGCTACTTTCACACTGTAATCTGCAACAGCCAAGAGTTCAGAAATACTACTGTGAACCATGACCTTCACTACATTGCATGGGATAATCCTCCGAAGCAACATCCTCTTGCTCTAAGTATGAGAGATTTCCAGAACATGACTAGTAGTGGGGCTCCCTTTGCTAGGAAATTTAATAGGGAGGACCCCGTCCTGACATTCATCGACAAGCAATTGCTGGGACGCTCTCCTGGGAAGTTCACTCCCGGAGGATGGTGTATAGGTACGGATCCAAGTTGTTACTTATAATGTATCCGCGTCGCAAAATTGTATTCATATTTAATTCTGCGTTGTCTGTATAAATGTTTTTCTCTTCTTTGTGGACTTGTGGACTTGGTTCTTCTAACTTTGCTGTCATATCGTTAAGTGCGGCTAACATCCTTCAGTATTTCTTAAGTGATTTGACTTGTTTCTGTTCGATAACAAAATGAAATGTGGTCACTCTTACAGGTGGAGTTGGCGATGACCCATGTACAATGATTGGGGACACCTCGGTCCTCAGACCGGGTCCTGGTGCTCGAAGGCTGCAGGGCTTGATTGAGCGTCTATTAGCGAAACCAAGATTTCGCTCGGAGCAATGTATCTTGACATAAAGCTATCTGTCCTGGCACATGAATTGAGCCGGAGGTGCTTTACCAGTTTTTCTCATCTGCAACGTATGGTGAAGTTGGTGTTGAGCACCCTTGCTTTCGACGCATATGGGGATTTGAGCAATCATTTTTTTAGTTAATGAGTTCTCTTCCGCATTCACGCGGAATTCCATCTAATGATCACTTGTAACAGTGGGGTTGTTCCTCCGTTAGACCGTTGCTTTTGTTGTACAATGTTAGTGGATGTGGGCTTGCAGCTTAATGTAACATTCCTTTTTGCGGTCTTCAGAGAAGACGTTAATTATCATCCCTGTGTTTCTTATCGATTTGCAATTTTGGTCATCTCTGTCCAGAACTTATTCAGAAGCTGCGGTACCGGTTTTTTTAGTTTTTGCGTAGTGTACTTCTCATCTTATGTTTGTGGTGGTTGTTTCTGCCTTGTGGAATTGTTGTCTGTGGCCAGGAAACTATGATTGAGAGTTTCCCCAGAGAAAACATGGCAAATGTGAACATCTGAACTGCCATCACCAGTGTTAATCGATTAGCGGCAGTAATGGACTTGCCTTTCGACGGGGCCATAGGGGGGGGCCTCTTCAAAGCCGCAATGCTTGCAGCAGCAACCGGAATGTCAGGCCGAAAGCCTCGGTATGAATCGAGATTTCGAGTATGTTGGTTAATTCTAAATTCACCTCTTAGGTGATAGCAGTTGTGCACATCATATGTTTTACAGATTGAAGGTTTGTTTTATTTTGTGAAAGCCCTTTCACTCCACATTTATTAATGAAGACAGAGTGCGCTTGTTTTGGGATTCCAATTCTCCTAGTTGTGTGTATTATGAATTTTCCATTTTTAAATATATCGTTTTCAAAATTCAACAGTATGCACGGATAAGTTCTTACAAAGAATATGAATGTATTTTAGTTGTGAAAACTTTCTCTCAAATGTATTCATACATTGTTATTATCAGTAGTTTTAAATTATTCATTGGACTATTTTGGGATTTGATTTTGGAAGCCTAAAGCCTGTAGATTTTTGTTTAAGGTTATTGTTTAATACAATCATTTGGAATTTGTAATTACAGCTAGACTGGTGTAGTCCTTACGTTACATGAAATAAAATTATTGTATATTATTCTGTTATTGAATACTGTTAAAATTTGATATTCCCTGATTATGAAAAAATCATCTACACACTTGCTGTTTGATTAGAAAAATTAGAAAAATCTTAATTGTTTTTGAAGTAAGTATTTTTATTAAAGAACTACATAAAAAATCAATTGATAAAGTTATAATGTAAGTTATTCCTGTTAAATTTTAATAAAAGCAAAATTTTAAAGTTCAGGGTGTATATAAATTTGTGAATTTTATAAATATTAAATATGAAAATGTAATTTAATTTGAATATAGTTGCACTTAAAAAAAATTGTAGCTATAAAGATTCAATTATAATTCAAAATTAAACGCTTCACAGCAACATTTAAAGGAGCATTTACACCGTGAAGAATTTATTTAATCTATTTTTTCAAAAACCTTTCATCTTCTTTCTTTTGTAAAATTTTCAACCATAATTTTTTTTTTCTGAATTTTCATTTTTAGAAAACCGATTCAATTCCAAGGTGGAACAAAAAAATATGATTCAATGAACTCACAATTCATTCATCCACACTCCCAATGGGCATGTCTATGAAAAGCTTTTTGTTTTTCTTTTCCTTTTAAACCATTGAGTATTCAAAGGTCACTGCTACCACCACTTATCACTTATCATTCATAAAACTTCATAAACTTTGACTGCAAAAAACAAGGATTATTTTCCTAAACAACCTCGACTTCCCAATGAAGTTGAAATATACTAGAATTTTAGGCTCTCAAGGTGTCAAAGTTTTTTTAGGGTTTTAAAACTTTCTTACTTTTCTTTCTTTCTTTTCTTAGGGTTTTTAATTATTTTGAATGTGCTAGATTCAAAAAAGAATCATGTCAAAGGGGGGTTCATTGAAGAAAGAAGCATGGGAGGTATTAAGAAAGTCAATCATGTATCATCATGGAATGCCCATTGGAACCATTGCCGCTACCACCATAGACCCATTGGAAGATATGGTTAATTATAATCAGGTTAATCAATTTTACATCACTAATAATAATAATACACTTTAATTTTTTTTTAAAAAAAATCAAGGTTTAAATAATGAATATATGTTGCATTGAACATTACCAGCAAGAACAAGATATAAGTTCTTATTGGGATTAATTAATTAATCACACCATAAGTATTCATATATTTTTTTTCTTTACTGCTGATCTAATTAATGTGCAATATTTTGGAATCTGTTTTTGTATATGAAACCTGTTGCACTGCCTAACAATTGAGTTCTAGATTTGTTGTTTTTTTTTTGTTCATTTTATTGTCTTAGATCACCCCATGAACTCAATCAAAAAACCATGGTTTGCAATATCATGGATCTACATTGACATTCAATGTTATGTAGGTATTCATGCGGGATTTTTTTTCATCAGGAATTGCCTTCCTTATTGCGGGTGAACCAGAAATAGTGAAAAATTTCTTATTGATGGCCGTACAACTTCAAGGAGATGAAAAACAAGTTGATTGTTTCACTTTGGGAGAAGGTGTCATGCCTGCTAGTTTTAAAGTATGTTATCTCTCTCTCTCATATATATATATATATATATATATAGATTTATTTATTGATAACTCTTCATTAGTAAACTATTATCTTGTACAATCACACTGATGGTTCTGTTAATATCAGGTAAATGAATAATATATATATATATATATATATTAATGATTATTATATTGTAGGTTACAGTAGATCAAAATTCAAATCAAGAATCTGTGGAAGCTGATTTTGGCGATGCAGCAATTGCAAGAGTGGCTCCCGTGGATTCTGGGTTTTGGTGGATTGTTCTTCTCCGTGCGTACACGCACTCCACGGGAGATCATTCTGTGGCAAATAGCCCACAATGCCAATTGGGCATCATCCGATGTTTAAATCTTTGCCTACATGATGGTTTTGACACATTTCCTACACTTCTTTGTGCGGATGGATGCTCAATGATTGATCGACGCATGGTACATTCATCCTCAACTTACAAAAAAAAACTAAAAAACAAACTAATATATATATATATATATATATATCTCAAAACACTAATCAATTTATACACTTATATGTATGTATGTAAGTATATACATTTTATTGTTTAAAAGTAAGGAAAGAAATAAACAATCGTCATATAAACATACTTGTAGGGCATATATGGATACCCACTTGATATCCAATCACTATTTTATATGGCACTTCGGTGTGGAAAAGAGCTTTTGAGACAAGATAGAGACATGGGAGCATTTGTGGAACGTATCGACAAACGCTTGCATGCTCTTACATTCCACATGCGGCAATATTTTTGGCTTGACCACAACCAACTCAACAACATCTATCGCTACAAAACGGAAGAGTACTCTTACACAGCTGTGAACAAGTTCAATATCATGCCGGATTCACTTCCCAATTGGGTGTTTGAATTCATGCCCAACAAAGGTGGATACATGGTGGGAAATGTTTCCCCGGCTTTCATGGATTTTAGATGGTTCACAATTGGCAATTTTTTAGCCATAACCTCTTCTTTGGCCACCAATCAACAAGCAAACGCTATCATGGATTTGGTGGAAGAACGATGGGACGAACTTATTGGAGAAATGCCAATGAAGTGTATGTATCCGGCTTTAGAAGGTGAAGAGTGGCGTATTGTCACCGGATGTGATCCTAAAAACACAAGATGGAGTTATCACAATAGTGGCTCTTGGCCAGGTGATATTTGCTAGTTACATAAGTTAAATTGTATTCATGTCTTTGTATGGTAAAAATGCTCAAAATAACTCAAAATTATAATGCTTCAATTACAAAGGTTTATCACATTTTTTTTAATCTATTTGTTTAAAAGTTGTATACAATATTTGATGTTCTTTTTGGTGTGTGTGTATGTGTATACATAAATGTATGTATTTGCAGTTTTTTTGTGGTTTTTAACGGCGGCAGCTATTAAAGTTGGAAGGCCCAATATTGCTCATAGAGCCCTTGAAATCGCTGAGAAGCGATTGTTGAAAGATGAATGGCCAGAATACTATGATGGAAAATTAGGGCGTACAATTGGTAAACAAGCTCGTAAGCTACAAACATGGACCATTTCCGGGTATTTGGTGGCCAAATTGTTGTTAGAAGATCCTTCTCAAGCTGAAATGTTGTTTATGGATGAAGACATGCGGTGTCGAATTAATCCTCTTGCAAGATCATCTTCCTCTGAAGGAGGGTAAAATATCAAACTTTATTCTCCATCATATATATATATATATATATATATACATATTCATTTAAATAAATAAATAAATAAATATATATATATATATACATATTCATTTAAATATATATATATATATATATGTACAAATTTAAATCAACATGCTTGAAAATTGCAGAAATTGTGGAAGTGAGTGTCGACCAACAATGCATCCGAGTCAACGACGTTCCATTCATTCATCTTCTTGTCCATTGTCAAATCTTCATCCACATCAAGAGGAAGGTGGTTGTTGTAGAGATTTTTAGGGTAATAGGAATTTTTTTGAGTTTATTAGTGGGAAGGGATTTTGTTTGGAAAGTCAAGGATAATAATTCAACACTCATGTTGGATTTTTTGCATCTTTGAGTTAAGAACTATTCAACTACAAGCACATTTAAATGATAAATTCTTTTGTGTTTCCTCCATCTTGATGAATAATGTGCTTCAAAACTATAAATTCTTATCCTAAAATGAACCCAATACAAAAAAAAAAATAAAAAATAAAAAATAAAAGATCTAAGGAATTACATACTGCTATCTCATAAAAGTTAAAAGTATGTATATTATTAGATTAATAATCATATCAAAATTTAAAATTATATCTTTATATATATATATATATATATATATATATATATATATATTATCTCATATTATCCATTAATGAATATTTTGTAAATCTAATGACTTGAAGATAGGAAATTTTAACAAGAAGATCTTGATTTTCAAAAATATATTGTTATCTTTTTTTACAAAATGATTAGATTATTTTATTGTAGGGAGTCTTTTGTGAAACTTCAAGTAAAGTACTTTAAAATAAAATAAACTAATATGATTTACAAATACTTCAAAATCTTTTCAATGTCCTAGCTTTACTTTATTACATTTTAATTTAAATTAATAAAATAATGATGATGGTTGTTGATTTTATCATTATAAATGATTTTTTTAATTTTTTAAATAAAATAAGAAATTTGATGACTATGCAACTTTAATTCTAAGAAATATAATTTAACAACAAACAGTTTGAAAAAAACTAAAATAATAAATCATATGGATGTATATTTTCAATTTCAGTATTCTCATATTAAAATTTGATAATGTGATTATTTATTGTAAAAATAGTACACACATACACATATACATCCTGAAAGTATCACTGTTTGTATTTCTCAATGTCATTTAAAACTTCCTGCTAATGGTAAATTTCATGCTTAAGTCTATTTTTCTTTACAGGTTATATTTTAGTTATTAACCACATATAATAAACTTCTATATAAACTTTATCGATGAGAAAAGAAATCCTTGATTCGATTTTAATCATTTATCCCAATTTAGGTTGAATTGCACAAAAGAATTGGAACCAAATCCTTTACACTTGCATTCATGGTTAGGAATCATTAGAAGAAAAAGTTTGAGATGATTAAGTCAAAGCAAAGGAACTTAGCACATTGCGGCTTAATAATTCTTGGAACTATTATGTTGAAACAACAAAATAGCTAAAAAAGGTGCCAATCAGAGGACGTTCAGATATTTTGTTCATCTATTCATATCAAAAAAAAAAAAAAAAAAAAAAAAAAAAAACTTTTGTCACCAGTGGGTAAATTCAAACTGTATAAAAACACATATATATATATCTATATATATATATATATATATATATATATGTTATTTATGTATTTATAATATATCCATTTCGACTATTTTAGTATCCATTGATGTGTTGATTTATTCTATATATATCAAAAAATTAAAATTAAAAAATTTGTTATGGTAATTGAAGCAATGAAACAACCTTTTCATTGTACTGTTAGGGAACTCCCTGAGCCATCACAGCATAGAATTTCAATAGGCAGAGGTTGGGTGAACTATGACGTTGGACCAAGCTTTCTGAAGCGGGTGTGAGGTCTCCTGCATGTAGAGATTGAGGAGAATGAGCTTGTAACCAGCATCTTACAAGTGTATTAATAAAACTTGGTTAAATAATCGACATCATATAACTAGACAGAAACCCAAGCCTGTACCATCTATTTCGACATTTCTTACCAAAAACTAATCAGCTACCAGAAGCAGTCATGAGCTCTCGACCCATAGCTCTCTGTATTGTAGAAATATCAAGCGTTGTGCTCGATCTACTGACAGAAAAAAATCAGAGCACGATGATTAATGTATCGAGTAATGTTGAGAAGGGCAGCCACTGAAAACAACTGAGACTCAGAAGCTCATAAAACGAATGTGTGGAAACTGTAACCTGATTCAGACATTTATATGTACACAAACGATGTGGAAATGTTCAGTATACACCTCGGACCTGTTGCTCCTCCAGATTTCTCTTGGGAGTGTCTCCCTAACCAACAAACTGAACATTCCTTGTACTTGGATCTGGTTGGCGCCAAGCAAAAACAACTACAATTACCTCAAGCAGTTAACTTCTCTAATGGTGACTCCGCACCTACAACAAAGACACATGGTGAACTACCAAAAGTAACATTGCCTCATTGGTCAGGGCAGGATTGTACATTGTAAGTGCCAAGCCGCGGAGGGCGCTGACACTGTTCAAATTAAGGATTGGAACAACTTTTTCATTTCTATCGGTAATAATTGAGTCCACCCATGCATAAACACCTTCGCCATCCACCAGAAAACGAATCCTTGTCATTCTAAATTACCTCTCTTACATGGGTTCTGTCTTCAAATCACAAAACTCGATGTCGTCTGTTGTGCAGAGAGAAAGTGCAAAATCTGCGTTAGCACACACTTCCCCAAGACATCCAAGATTGCTGAAGAATTAACTAAATACAGAGCTCATCACCTTTTCTCTTTGTGCGGCACGGTGCATTGTAGATAGAGATGAAACTCACAAAAAAAAGCGTTGATACATAGTTAAATAAGAGGAAAAGAGATACTCACCGAGAACATCCTTATCGGGTGACCGCAAGAATGCATCAGGTGTCATGAATGGCGATCCAGAATAGCTTCCCAGAGGACCCAAATCTAAATCACCTGGAAAATAAACCCAATCAAAGATGTCCTCGTTGAAAAACGGTCACTATGAGCAAGAGATTGCCACGCAACTCCAAACGACTGCTGAAAAGTTCAAAGCAACTAATAGCCCCCCCCGTTGGACATGCAGTGGTTACAACTTTCTGCCTCGGAGACCTCTGGATGGACTTGCTATCCAACTTCAACTCACTCCTAGGCCAAGTAGAAATCGAAGGTTACTGACCTGTACTATTGGTGAGCTCTGCTGTCAAATCCGAGAGACTGAAGTTTCGGGGGAGCTGCCCAAGCGACCCGAGCGATTCTCTGTGGCTGCTGACATCTGTCTCATGAGAACCCATAGCCATACCTCCCATACCATTCTGGTTGGTTGCATCAGTGGATGCAAAAGTACCGTCCATGCCCATGGATGTTGGTAAGCCCATCCCCATGCCCGACATGTCTGTTGGACCCATGTTCGCAAACGGAAACGAGCCTCCAGGCATGCCTCCTGGAGTAGATCCCATGGAGCCAAGTGAAATGTCACTCCCGCCAGACGAAGCAGTACCCAGCGACATATCTCCTAAGCCACTGATACCACCAACCCCCAAGAGCACATAAGGTTAACAGGGAAAAAATTCTCAAAATAAAATATAGGTAATCATCGAGGTCACGGAAAGTGTCATGCAATAAAGGATTCGATGATAATGTAAACCACCTCATGAACTTACTTTGTCCCATCATTTTCATGAGAGTGATAGCTGTCGGGCACAGCAGAACTTCCGTTCATAAGTGGAGAGTTTGGAGGAGGCATAACAGCCATGGGTTGCATATGTGAATGGACAGGTGGTGGGGTTTGCATTGGATATCCCATTGGAGTGTGATGCACTGCAATTCATCAAAGCAAATGAGGTTATCATATTAAGTGATCAATTCTATACATACACGACCTCACCATATTAGCACCATCAGGGATAGAATCTGCAAGCACCAGTCCACACAACAGCACCGCCCTTATCTATTCCGACATAAGGACAACAAACTTTTCCTAGAAACTTCCAAGGAACACATCAAAAAGCTTAGATACCATAAAAATTCATACGATATGAGCCGTTTGAAGCCTAAAGTGACATAGGGGCAGGTGTTGACCCTGCATATCTTAAATAAGGACTTCGGAAGCATACTTGGAGCAGGATGCATGCCATTCTGCAAAGGAAGCGGAGTTTTGGGAATAAGACGCATCTTGTGCATTAGCTGAACTTGCTGCTCCAGTAGGTGGTTGAACAGCACAATTTGCTTCTTGAGCTTCAGTCTGGTATAATAAGCTTTGAAAAACTCTGGATTCTGTTCCTCCAACTTCTGCCAAACTGCATCATTGATTCCGAAAAAGGGATATTATCAACTCGGAATTAACCTATGAAATGTTTGCAGAGGTGGAGAAGGGGATGGGTTATGAGTATTAGGAACTTAAGGAATGATGACTGTGAATGCAGACCTGATGCAGGGACAAAAACGCAAGAGGACAAGTGTGAAAGAAAAGAAACACTCACCAAGACTAGTGAAGCCAGGTTCAATCTTAGCTTGATATTGCAACGTGGTTATCACCTCGCTTTGGTTCATGTAAAGTTGGAGGCACCGTTCTATCAGATTTTGAACCTGCCTCGAAGAAAACAGCCGTTCTCAAATGAGCGCTAAAAGGCCTTGCAGTACGATTCCGTGTTGTGCCATAAGCCGAAGAAATCATTTCATTGTTAGTGTTTAACCGAACAGCAAGACTAGCTAGGAAATGGTGACTTGCAAATGAACAACCGTTATAATGAATTCTATGTGAAATCCATGCTGAACGTATTATAACATCATTTAACGTGTTTAAGGCATATTCCTTAGATGCGATGTGCATGTTGAGATATTAAATCACGAATAAAGAGAAGCCACACTCAATCATGCTTGAAAGACGATTGATACACTCGATCACCTACACACAGGTACATCTACGACCACCTGAAAGAGCTATTGTGCTCTGTTACAAGAGAACTTGCATCATCCCCTCACTTCATTGGTTCAAACAGGTGATACAGCCAAATTATGCCCCATTATTGCAAAACAGAACTCGGGTAAGTATCACCAGCAATTAAATTGCAAGTCTTCTTAAGGAGAGGATAATTGTCCAACCAGCTGAATGTCTTCACAAGATATCTTCCGTCCCTCATTGGCAGGAGCTGGTCCAGAATTGGGATTGTTGCTCGGAGAAACTGACTTGGTGGTCGCTTGTTGCGGTGGCGGTTGCTGGTGCTGCTTTTGCTGATTTTGTTGCTGTTGCTGCTGCTGCTGCTGTTGGTTGTGTACCTGTGGTTTCTGGTCCAAAACTTGCTGTTGCAAGGGAGGTGCGGAAGAACCCGTGGATTGCCCTTGGGAAGTAGCGATCTACATACCATAAAACATTCGAATCAAAAGCAACCCAACCGAAATAGTATTACCCTCAACATACAGCAGAATCAACGCGAACATAATGCAAATAACACCCAATACTTGCTCAGTAAAGCCTGCATCCCACCAATCCGAATCCTCTACGTCTCCTCCACGACGCTGCTCACGAAACGACTCTCCAAACCCCAACATCCAAACCCTAAAAACCAAGGAATAGAATCCCACTGCAAACTCCCACAGATCTCTCTCGCTCGCTCTCACGCGCGCGCCCGCTCTCGCTCAATCTCGCTCACTGCCCTCATTCACCTTAACGTTACCGTGCGGCCCCACGACCTCGGGCTTGTTGTCCTCCTCCTGCTGGCTGCTAACGTTGCCGTACTGGCCCTGGGGTGGCACGCTGCTAGCATCGTCCGTCACCCCAGCCATGGCGTGAGCCAAGCGCGCGGGTTCACACCGAGGGTGCGCCCATATCCATCACGGCAAGAGTGAGGTGAGCGCTGAGGAGGCGAACAAGATAGAATCCGTCACTCAGACAGGCTCTCAATCTCTCAATCTCTATCTCACCCTCTATCTCTGTCTCTCTCCCTATCTCGCTAGCTTTTGTTTCTCTCTGTGTATGTGTGTGTGTGCGTGTCATCAGGAACACCTTGTGCTGAGCAACAAGAAGCAATAAACGAGCACCCGTGCGTGCACAAATGCAGGGAAAAAGTCTCGGAAAGCACGAAAAGAATACTCCTGCAACATTCGGCGCCCCACGGAGAGCAGCAGCACGCAGCGACAGGGGAAGGCAGGCAAGGGAGGAAGGGGAAGAAGAGGGCCCTTCTCCGAGACCCGCCATCCCCCAGCCAATCCCATTCCCGTGCATGCGCCCCCACGCCCGTGTCCTCCTCCCTGCCTGCCTACTCCCGTGCTCTTCTCGCGGGCCCCACCGTTCATTTGCTTTGTCCGACGTGGTTGCCTCCGTGGCGAGTTGGAAGCGACACGATAGTGCCGACGTGGCGGAGACATCCACACGGCGCCTCCTTTCCCTTTCTTTTATCATGGTTCAATGTGAATATAAATAGGGTCCTGCTAATGTTACCACAGTTTTTGTTAATGTCATCTTAATTCCACATGAAAATTTTAATCAAATGTATGCATATATATATATATATATATATACATATTCCTACTTCCACAACAATCATTTTATCATGGTCAATACACATATTGAAAATATTAATAACTTTTTTATTAGAATAGAAATAGAAATAGAAATAAAAACTAAAGAAATATGTTATGTGGGTGACAAGTTTGGTGGCAATAGAAAAATCTATAGTAACATTAAAAATTCCTTATAAATATATTACACACCTATATAAATTTTCTTTATTTTAAAATTTATTTGTGTACTAATTTTTTATTTTATTATTATCATTGTAGACTAGCATTGAGGCCCTTACTTTGGATAGTAAACAATTATAAAGATTTCATTATAAATAATATTTTTAGTTATAAGAAATGTCAATATTCAAATATTTCACTATAAACAATATTTTAAATATATTTGAAGAATTTAATGTTGTTGAAAAGTAGTGTGATGCTATTTTTGGATTTAATGCTTAACAATGCAACATATATTTTTTTTAAAGTAAGTGATCAATGGTTTTGCAAATAGTAATTCCTTCAAAAATATAGATTGTATTTTTTTCTATATTCTAGTGAACAACATCTTTTCCTTTGCTAATGCAAAATAAATACTTTACAAAGGATCTATTTCTTCTCCTTTTGGTCCATTAATTTGGTGCAATCTTATATTAGTCATAAGTAAAAAAAACTTCAAACTTGCATTAATAATTTGTATTCTTATTTGAAGAAAAAGAACTCCCAAAATATGTCAGAAGCTCCTACCTAATATAAAAAACTTTTCATTGAATGGTTGATTAATACTATTAATAATGTATTTATATTCAAAAAAAAATTCATCTCAATAGGATCATATGACATATGGCTTACAAAAAATTGATTACTTTATGCAAGTATTAATTAATTGGGAATCTCTTCATTTAAATGACATAGACCTAGAAACTCAATCAAATATTTTTCATTTTGTAAGAGATAAGATTGAATGTCCAACATAGCTTTGACAATGGCTATAGAATGATTGGTAACAATAACACCTTGTCGAAGGCATAAATCACAAATAAAATCTTTAATCATAAGAACAACATTTTCTTTCCACAAATTTTCAATACTTGAAGGATCTCCAAAAAGTAAATTCAACAAACAATAATCCCATTGAGGTTGGCATTTGTTTATTAGTAATATCATTCATTTCACAAAACCACTTTGTATCATCTTGCAAATGTCCATAGATGTTGGTTGCATCTTAAAATGAAGGGTGTAGCATATGATTAAATGTTTGGAAATATTCAAAAGAAAGAGGACCTTAAATGTAGAGTGAGAGCAAGCACAAGCAATATTGTTCTCTTTGAGACAAATTACAATCATACATTTGCTCAATAATTTCTTTTTTCTAGTACAGATATATATTTTTTTTGCTAGTGTTTATTCCCTTCTATTATAGTACTTGAGAACTTAATTATATAAAAGGTTTTTGGTTCTATTATGAAAAGAAATTGTTAACATTGTTAGTATTTATTCAACTAGCATATTATTTAGATTTTTATTAAGTTCATAATACACAATATGTGGATTTGGAAGGTGGACTCTCCATGATTGAATATTGTGGCTTGTTTATTTAATGCTTAAAATTAAATATTTTTTAACATGCTTGTAGTGATGAAACATTGCAAGCATCCACATATTGTTATTTTTTTTCAAGGTGTCTATATTATTCTCTTCTTGCAAAGGAGTTGATAATAAAATAATTGTGGAGTCATGCTTCTTACAAACATATTAATAAAGGTATTTTATAGCAATTATTATAAAGCACACTTTAGTATTAATATGATAGTTATAAATTTGGCAAAAAACCAGATTATAGACAAATATCCATTGATTGTCTAGAACTTTGCTTCCTTCAACTATAATTTTGCCATTGTTTCTCCTACAATATGAAGAGCAATCATTGTCATCTTTATGTCTCTTCTTAAAATTCTTTTGGATATTGCTTTTAAGAAATACCATCTAATATGCATAGTGCAACTAATTTGAGATGCCTATAGGACCAATGAACCATGTAATTTGTGACAATAGCATAAAACTAGGATTAGGTCTCAAAATTTGGAATTTTAGTTGAAACCCTAGTATTGTAGTCAAACAAATTTGACAATTTTTCATCAAGATGAAGGACAATCAAGAAATGAGCATGTCTTAGAAAATATTTCTAGAATTCAATAACATGGATATGTACAATATTTTTTTCAAGAATCCTATCTTCCATCAAAAATTCTTTTAATATTGTCAATTGTTGTTTAAATTTCTTAGTGTCCAAATTAAGTCGATTTAATGTTGTTTGCCATTTGAATAATTCTTATGCAAGTTTTGGCCAACTTAGGTTGCAGATAAAAGTAATATAAAGATGTGGCTTGCCATTGATTTGAATTATATTCATTGCATCTAAGTAGCATTTATGCATATACCTAACATTTTTTTATAAAAGAAGAAGGTAAAAAAATATGCCTTCTTACATTTGTTAAATTACCATTGATTTATAGGTGGTGAGCCATACCTTTGTACAAATCAGCACAAATTGTATGTTGGTTCAATTAGAGCCAACAAAGATGTATTTGATCATTTTTTTTAATATTGATAAATAATGTATTGCTTAAAATTTCTTCTACAATGGTAAATAAAGCTATCTGGAAGCTTACAAAAATATAAGCAGTATAAAGCATAATCTATTGGATTCATCTAAGTTCTTTTCTTAGGTCAATTGAAATCATATTATTTATGTTCTACATCATTTTTATTATTTTTGGGCTCCATTATTTCCATTCTTTTATAGGATATATTAAAATTCCAACTATATTTTCTATAGAGAAATATAATACAATACATAAAAGAAATCAAATACACCAAGTACATCATTAATCCTTATTAGAGGGCCTTTAACAATATAAAAAATGATATCTCTTCCTACAAAAGCACATGTACACATAAATTTTCACACAAAAGAATTAATGCAAAAAAAAAAAAAAAAAAAAAAAAAAAAAATGTTGAATATTGTATAAAAAAATTTAATCTGAATAGAAAAAAATGTTTCAATTACAATTGAATTGAGCTTCGAAAGCAATGCCATGAAAATACATTTGACTAAAGTAAAGAAGTTTACTTTTAGTAAGCACCAAAATTTCTATGCAATAATAAATTGCGCCTTAATCAAAAACATGTATGAACATCTTCATACATGTTAGCTAGTCTTTGATCATATTTTGATCTTTATAATACAAAGATAAAATTCTATTGTAAGAACAAATATTCTTAATATTTGGTTAAGCATTATTGAATAATCTTTTAAAATACAATAGTATGGGTGATAATAAGGCCATGTTATAAACATACATATTTACACAAGAAATTAATTAGATTAAAAGATTTATATAGAAGTAAATGGAAGTAAGAAAATTTAATAATATCTTGTAGAGAAGCTCTCCTAGAAACTTCATAGACACAAAATTGACTTTATATTTGTCTAGAGGTGATTAATAGATTGAAAATTTGGCCAACAACTTAGCCATACATTATACATATTGGCTATGTGGTGCACATATAAAAAACTTGTCTTGTAAGTCAGACATGTGTTAAAGCTCTTATAGAATATTTCCATTTAGCTCTAAGTTAGTATATATAGGAGTAAGAGTGTGGCCTTCCTCATTCTTGTCAAATCTTTAATTGTTTCTATTCTAGTTTCAAGAATCTCTAATTTTCTATTCTTTGGCAATAGCCATTCCAGTTTCTTCTTGAATATACATATTAATTTATTTCTTTTTTGTCATCTCTCTCAGATATAGATCTAGCTTATGTATTTACATTCTTTGAATTCTTATCCTTTATTGGCCAATTTCACTTTGTCTTTTAACAATACAAAATAGTCTTTTTAGATAGTTACTTCTTCGCTTTGTTTTTGGAGCACAATTTCTCCATTTCAAAAAAGGCGAAATGTATGTTTTCAATATTGGAAAGTCATTAACAAATTGCACAAAAATATTATCAACAATGTTTCTATCTTGCAGAGCATAAAATGTTGTGGACTCCTCCATTTATCACATAAGCAGGTATTTGCTGAAGTCTTTGATGACCTTTATGGTCATATAACTACTCAAGCTTTTTACGAGGTTTGCCTAGTTTACAATTATATAGACATTTGTTCTCTTATTCTTCATTGTTTTAGTAAAATCAGTGTACTATGACATATCAACAATTTTTTTTTTTCCCTCTTCAAGCATGTCTAGTTCTTGTGGTGTCTAATAGCACATGTCGTAAGAAATATATTCAATTGTTGGTGGATGAACCGTTGCTTAGTACATGAACAAAGAAGAATGGAGGTAGAGCCTCAACACCAAACTCCTTGTTTATTTGTCCCTGCAATTCCTTGTCATTGTCTTCCAAAATTGAAGCCATCCACAAAAATTGTGGAAACAAAAATGTTGGTCTAATAGATATGATTAGGACATGAAGCTCACAATGTTATCAATTCTGCAAAGATTGAACATAACTAATTTAGAAGAAGAAAAAGAAAAAGAAGTACAAAGAGGAGAATGTGGATGTTGCCAACAATATTGTTCAAATAGCATAGATGTCGACAAACATCATCAATTGGGTAAGAAACATATAGACATTAGCTTTAATAAAATAAGATTTTTGTAAGTCTATCTTGGAGGATAATTTATTAATTTTCAATTATAATTGTATGAATTTTGAGATTTGATTTTTCTTAATAATATTGGAGTAGTATTTTTTTTCTTTTCCTTTTTCAAAAGGACTTTAAGATATGTTTTTGTGATATTTTAAAGTGTATTTGTCATGGCAGAACATATCAAAGATACACATTTATGGTTCTTTTTTTGTTTGTTTGTTTTTTTTTTTACTATTTTTTATAAAGTTTTAAAGAAATTATTTGATTTTTAAATTTAGAATAATTACATAATCCAATTATGAATATTTTATGATTTTTTTTCAAAATATTGCTAAAACATCTAAAAGTATTTTTTTCTATTTTTCATTTTTTAAATTGTCTTCTAATATCATGTAGCTCAAAAAGTTTGTGAATAAACAAAATAACATGTTTTTAAAACAAGTTTTAAACAATAGATTATAAAAGTTAAATTTAACCCTTTAAAAATAAATTTAGTGTATAATAAACTCTTGTATACTCGTCAAAAGAAATAAAATATATATTATTAATTTGCAACATGGATTAATAAGGTTGTATCAAAACATAAGTCAGTAAAAGTGTTAGCACTAGAAACAGAGTTTGGTGACAACAAAAAGAGACGAATTTCAATAAAAATAACAAATTGTGAATAAGTGAACAAGTTATGTAAATACATGAAGTACAATAAACTATAAAAATTGAAATGTAGAGGGACCCTTTAAGTCAATTAAGTTGATGACTATTTGATAGAAAGACCCAGACCTAAAATCTGATCTTAGATGGTTTCACTGAAAATATGATACTATTTGATAGTTGCTTGTATCATTTGTAACGTATGTCAAGTTCTACAATTCACGTTACAGATCCATACATATCAATAACAATTTCATCATGGGTCCAGTCAGCTTAGATAAGCTCTGACGCACAAATTCATATTCCCGGCATCATTTGGACTTTTCGGAGTCTTGTTTTACCACCATACAATGGGTGCATTCAATAGTATGTTAACTAATGTAGTAGGCTATTTCTGTGGACTATTTTGCATTAAAGTCAGCGAAGAACTTTGAAAACCGTCTCTATGACACAAGTTTCCTCGGAGACTTGGCATAAGATTTCTTAGCCACATATTTATCATTCTTAGTGTTCATTTTGAAATCCAGGTTTTCGGATGTAGAATGGAAGATGCTAGCCACCACAACAGTGGTACCTTAGTGAGTTCTCCGACAAACATCGATTAAACCTTCTTTTGTTAGAGGTTAGCTCACTGTATATGGGTGCCACAACTGGAGGGAGAAATTTTAGAAGAATGCATTTGTAGTTGTAACCACAAACGTATCCACCCATGTAGGGAATACAATTTCGGTATTTTTGTTAGAAACTATAACCTCCTTCAGATTGCAGGTCGGTCTCAGCTGTAAGTTATAGATTTAATAGGAATATTCACTCGGTATACGTGACTCATGTCATGAGAATCAAGAGCCTCACAAATCAAGTGTTCACTGTCCGGGTACCAGAACACCTTGCTCACACAGGAGACGTGCGGCAGGCTGCCTGATGTGCTACCCGATCATAAGTGTAAAATCAAATGCAAAAGGCACCGAATTCAACAAAGGAGCTGTCATAACCTTGCGAATCAGAAATAAGCCACTGTGGAGTATTTCTTCTACAATGGTAATGCAGCTGCACTTCCCCTGCTTTAGGATGTATATGCACGAGCTTCTCCACACTCTTGAGGAACAGCCTCCTTTGGACAACTTTCTGGTCCAGAACACACTTCCTTCCTTAGTAGAGAATTCCTCGAAACGTTAACCGGATTATAATCTTCACGAAGGACTAGTAGTAAAAGAAAGTACAGGCATATTCAGACTTTGTGCTCATATTCTATGGGTAGAGATAGTCTGTCATGCTTTTGGCATTCAGTACGAGGAATTGTTACAATCATAGCACATGATACAACCGACGACCAGGGACATAAAAACCCTTCAGAAGAGTGGGAGGACGGGAAAATGCATCCAGAAGCTTGCCCCATTTCGCAGCTGCACTTCCCCAGCCACTGCTCATCTTACCGGCACGCTCATCATATATTTCAAGACCTAAACGACGGCCAAGGAGAGGGGATCAGCTAAGAATGGATTATGCCTCAATTCTTTCCGATCAGCGACGCATGCGCGCCTCACACATCTAATTGAAGTCCTCATCTCCGCACTGCCCCAGAACCGACGCACAAATAACAGGAAGTCATCAACAGAACAGAAGAGACACAAGCTCCGACGTAAAGTGATAACAAGCTTATAAATCCAAAAGCCTTCAGTAGATAGAAACGAAACTGGGACGTAATGCTAGAGTTCAGAAACTATACTAAGGTGCAGTAGCACGGGAAATACCACAACACACAATTAATTGGATCGATGGAAGAGTGGTTCTATATAGAGCGACAAACACAAACACGCACCCTCGAAACCCTAAAAACGCCGACGGCAACGAACGAGAAAACGAAAACGGAACGAATGTTGAGCTCAGTCCAGAATTCGTTGTCGACGTCCATTCGGTGATATTTCCAGGAAAGTTATATAAACAATCATAATTGATATCATAGGTTGATAAATGTGTTAAGATGTGAAGATAAAAAAAATAAATTAAAATTAAATTAAAATTTTAAAATTTTAAATTTTAAATCTTATGAATGACAATATAATTTGAGCTAGCTTTAAATAATTAAACCAAACCAGCTTTATCTTATTTGTTTTAAATATGCAGTTGGACTTAGTTTAAAATGTAATCTTTGAGTGTAAGTAATATTGTGTTAGATTCTTCATAGCACAAAAGTAATTTTGGGTTGTTTAGGCTTGTTAATTGTCACGTTTTTCAAATGTGCTTTTGAGTTTCCCATATATTGTTAGCTTATTTAACATTTAACAAGCCTAAACAACCCAAAATAATATAACAGCTTCAATTTTTTTAACAATAAATTAGAAAAAAAACCATTGTGAAACTTTTGATTTACATCCAAGTACCTTTCTTCAAAAACATTTTATGTTAAAGTAACACATCTAAAAAAAATAAAAATCTCTTAAAGGAAATATGCATTTTAACTATGTGCATTTTTATATTAGATTTTTTAACTAATGAAGATATTTAGTATCGATTATAAAAAACTAAAATATTAATGATGTAATTGTATTACAGATTTATTGTGTTAACAAAATGTTTTAAAATTATTTATGTATTAAATGATTAAAGATGATACTTTGATATTATTAATACGTTTTTTGAGCAAATTCCACTAAATGTTGAGATTTTTAAAAGACCTTTTTTTTAATTTTTTAATTTTTGATGTATGTTCACACTTTTATGACTTATATATATATTCAAAATAATGATGTTTGTTTCTGTGCATCCATCTAGAGTACAATCTATCCATCCACCAGTTCATCCACCATTTGTTTAAACCATTTGTGGAATGGATTTGAACTAGAAATCATTTAAACAACAAATATAATCAACAACTCCATTTCAAATGCATTCCATAAATTTCATGTGTTGAATTAACCAAGTATATGTAATCAACAAGAAAAACTTACTAGGAAAATTTAATTTCATTTCCATTTCTTTAACATATAATGTGTGTAATGTTCTGGATTTTGTAACCAAGTTCAAATAGTTCGATCCTGCATTGAATTTCATGAACAAAACTTATAATTTTCTCAAAATTTAAGATATATTTTAAATTTAATTTCTTTAAAAACATTTTTTCTTTTAATGTGTCTCTCCAGAATAAAAGTTTGATTGAAAATTCACATATTTGCATATTGTCCGTGTTCAAGTTCCCAATCCAGTAATTGAGACAAAAGAAACAAAATAAACAAAATAAAGAAATCTAATAATTATCACAATAAAAATTCAAAAACTCAATGTTTTTTGATATTTTGAAAACTCGACCATCCTACGCAAATAATCATTTTTATTATTTTTACACCACATGTATGCGCAGGATTATTAGGATTTGAGACTCCCATTGAATAGTAGTGAGCTCCCAGTTCTTATTTGCAGCTTCAGTGAGCTGCTGCAGAGCCAGTTTCTGGAGAAGGTAAAGGCTGATCTCAGTTCAAGCACTGAATACTAGGCTGACATGGACAAAGTATGTAAGAATTTCTATTATGAGACGATAAAAACATTTCAGTATAATGTGCACTTTTTGTACAAAGATCGAAGAAGAACAAAGAACGTCACCGCATCTGTAGTCTTCTATTAGTCTTCAATTAACCCTCGCATCACGCATTCTTTAAAAGGTACTTCAAGATGTGCTGCGAATGCAGCGAGTTCGAGCTTCTTGACATGAACAGAATACAAATCACAAAAATATGAATGTAGAGCTGAAATCCACCTCGATCGTCAGCGCGGAACTTCGACTCGACTTCAAACAGAATTCGCCGACGTTCAGATCACAGTATGATGCCACAGATTATACAGTGAGTGGGATAATATAGTGGGGATTTGTGGGAGGGCGCAAGAGTGCAGTGCTGCTCAAACTAAGCAGTAGATTGCAATTGAAGCGACAGCCGAGAGAAGAAGCGCATTATCCTTGGACTTGTCAAGTATCGTTGCTCCACCCCCGCTAGTACCATAGGAAGATGGGGAAGAGGCACTCCCACCACCGCTCGGAGCAGACTGAGGGGATCCGGTCCCCGAATTGTGGCTCTGATGCCCATAACTGACATTCATGGTGTAGCCGCGCCCACTGGTCATGCAATCGGGGACTGTGCTAGTGTTAAGCTCATTGTAGGAGAGGTCTAAATACTTCAGTTCCTTCAGGTTGCATAGTTTGCTAGGAATTCCTCCCTTCAGGTTGTTTGACATGAGGTCGAGCGATTTCAAGTGGATGTTGCTGGCTAATCCGGAGGGAATGGAGCCCTGGAGGTCGCAATTGTTGACTGTCAACTCCACCAAGCTATCAGAAAAGGAGCTCCATTGAGATGGGATCTTGGAGCTGAACAAGATGTTCTTCAACCTCAGCGTCTGCAGGTCTTTGAGCTTCGACAGACTGTGGCCCGGCTTGCTCGAGTAGCTCTTGTTACTTGTCACAAAGTCTGACCCTGTCCCAGATGGCCCCTCCACATCCAACACCACCAACATCTCGTTTTGACATGTAAGCCCCTTCCATGCGCAGCAATCACTAACGGTTTCGTTCCAGGTAGAGAAAACTTTGCCGCTCGGGTCAATAAATTCTTTTCGAAATTCCAGTAAAGCTTTCAAAGACTCTGACGAGCATGTCGCCGCGCTGCAGCAGGTTGCAGCTGCCACTATGGCCGCGAGAATGGTCAGGATTCTTGTGCAGCCACTTCCTGCAAGTAGAGGTGGATTCATTTTGAAGCAGCAGAGGTAGGTCTTGGCAGATTGGACGCTTTAACGGGATTTTGAATGAGAATGCGGGCTTCGCTTGTTCAAGAGGATGACCTCACACTCTCAAATTGACACTGAAACATGGAACAAGGAATTTTCTGTCAAAAAAAGAACAATGTAGTAGAGTGAATGTTGAGAGCGGCAATTTGAAGAACATAAATCTAAAATATGAAGGTGAATAATGCCAGAATGTGCAGAAGCTTTCGAACCCGTTTTCTAGTTATATTGCTACTGTTCCATCACGAACAAGCACGCATCCAAGTTGTAATAGCAAACAGATCCCTGCCAACATTCAATGAAGCGCAAACACCAGTCACTTTTATACGTGCCTTTCCATATAGCCGCCAAAGAGAAACCTATTTCCTATGTCCTACACGCAGATTACTGTGACTTTTCCAACAGATCATTTCTGAGTATACAAGTCTTGTGCACATGAGTATTCCCAGTTACCACAATTCTGTACACCTCAAATTTTCTTTCAGCGCCTACAGTAGCTTTGGTCTAATTTCTAAAATTACCGAGGCCTAGGACAAAGCACTCTTCAACGTATTTCTCCGACACAGACAAGACAGCAGATAAAGTTTGGATAGTCTTCACAAGAGTCTGGAATCAATCACTGAACGCAACGGTGAAGTAAAAGTATGGCATTAATATTAAGGCGGCGTTTTCAGGCGCTACTTGAAGTTCTGTAGATCATGGTAACCCTTGACGTTCGACTGGAGAGAAGTGACAAAGGTAGGAAGTTGAAAGAAATGCGGGACTAGTATCTCCAACTTTTGTTCTCTTCGCCAACTGCCTTGCGACATGTACATTCCTGTACTCGTTACGACGCCGGAGCGTGTATTACTTCACGTACTTCATGGTCCCTCCTCGATCCGGTTCAACCTTTAGCAACTACCGGCAGCATCCATTGCAAGCAGATTTGATTCTGATTTTCTTACCTTATACCTGACAGAATTCGAACTGGCGGCTGGAAGATCAGGGGAGAGCATTCTAAGTCTCCTACAAAACTGTAACCCTTTCATAACCGGTCAAAGATTCTGAAGGAAGAAACACTTGCCAGGGGCATGATAGGGACCAAGGCTACCGGACACCACCAACCACTGTGGAGTTTTGTATCATGTTGAACATACCGTTGTACTCGCGCTCCTATGAGGTGGAACAGGGTAGCCATTCCAAACGTATGCATTACGAAGCCATCACAATAGCATCATGTGTCACGCTTCGCATTGATCATCATGTCTGCACGAGTCTGTTCATAGTACCAATGTACAGTGCCGCTCTAATTCGTTGTAGGCTCTCTGATGCTCTCATAAAACGCGTCAATTGCAACCGAAATCTAGCTGAGCTGCAAAAGCCAACTGGAATGAGTTAAAACTCTGCTCGAGCTCTAAGCCATTGTAAATTTTCATTGCCACTGTCTTTGCCATTGCGTGCTGTGTACAGTACGCTTCATAATCACGACCAGTACTACGTTGACGGAGAGCTCAACTCCTGCGCACCACAGAGGTCGCGATCACAATGTATTTCGGCTCAAACTTCGTGAACTCATTTCTTCAGGTTAGAAAATTGCGAAGCCACTGCTACGTCCTACTCAAGCAGAATATTGTGTTGTGGCGGCTGATACCTATCATCAGGCAGCAACATGCCTGCCTCCATTTCCAGAAATCTCAAAGATTGAGTCCTAAAATTTAATGAATAGAATACTACGATGCAGCTTGAAGCTGTTAACAACCAGATTCTTGAATGATTACCAAACACCATATGCGTTACAACTTTGTCTATGCAGTCCCTTGTTGTGTAAACACTTTGGCATCCTTCCACTCTCATGCTCGCACCAGCTCTCAGTTCTGAAAATCGATCAAGAACCAAGTGAAACATCGACAGGAAAGGTAATCGAGAAATTGCTCGCACCTGCATCAACGTGTTTACTAATAAGCATTACGGTAACGTAACTGAAAATATTATCAACTCCTCAACGAGTTCTTATACTTCTCCAGATTCAGAAACTCCTCACAATGATCGCTACCATGAAGAGGACACGGGCATTGTAGCTGAGGATAGAGCGATTGGAATCCTCGGACACGAGTGCAAAAAGTTAGTTAGAAGAGATAAGTATGGGCAGAGATGAAAGGGTAATGACGCTCCTGCTTATGGTCTACTCATGGGCATTTGTTCCGAACACTGTCGTTACGTTAGGGATTTTCATGGCGGTGTGGAAGAACACATGCTACTCTGAATATCAACGATTCAAATGTCATATTCGGCAGTGTCTCACTGTAGTTCGCACGAGATTTGCTCCGATGTGTTAAGGAAGATCATGCCAATTTCATGCATCAAAGTGGTGATGGTTTCTAATTGTGTAGAATCAGATATCCTACAACAGCTTACACATATATCAGCCCTGTCACTGGTTTTAAGGTTGACTCTTCATCTTCGATATGTGGTATTGGATGAGGTATTGAAGGGATCAGAATCCCTGGTGGTTCATCAACTCGGCCGCGGTGAGAAAAATCAAGAGGACCAATAAAGATGATGAAAGAGCCTTCACAGAATGTAGGTTTCCATGACCAAGTTGCGTTTCGAGTGTAGGAGCTAAACAGACAATGAACACCTAACATGAAAACTATAATAACACTTCTGTGGCAACGTCTGAACGAGATGACCAAAAGTTCACACACAACATTGACAACGGGGACAGTGACTAGTAAAATCGACTATTATTGCTTGCTTGTATTTCCATCTGGACTTGACACGCTAGCAAGTGCTAACAATATCAAACTTACGACGCATGGAGTGAAGATCAGAGTTAGGGCCACATTTATATCTGGACTAGTGATGGAGGGCACACATAGGCTGCCGTATTTCACCAAAATTGCACCAGCAACACATCCTGCGCTTAATTTCCCGAAGTACTGCAGCTCGCCCTGAGCAAGCAAACCATTCAAGAGACCCGTCAACAGCCAAGGTCTAAATCTATATTCGCTCAAAAAATCAACTGCTAGAAAGCAAATTATGACACAGAAATAATCAAAACCCAACGGTCGAAGTTCCATTCCCCCAAGAATATGCACCATCGGAATTCATCGAGGAAGCTATCCGAGAGCTGGAATCCGTCAACTGTTAAAACCCTAAAAGAAAAAGCAACTTAAAACTGCGCAAATTTAACATTCATCTAAACCAAAATGACCTTAGAGGACATGCTGGCGCAACCATGATTGCCAAACCACAATGTTAGGGACTACGCAGGGGTAAGAGGCAAGACTTGGTTGCGCCTATTCTAGAACAGCGTTCAGCCACTCTGTCGTTACGCAGTGACGTCCACACCGAAGGCCAACAATCAAGTCTACACAGCAAGATAAACCTCCATCAACACGAACTCATTCCAGATTCTACTAAATTCAAGGTCTCACAGGTGTCAATTCCCTCACCGGAGGTGGAAACTGCGGCTCTTTACGATCGTCTCGCCGATCCTCGCCCACGGAAGCACGAGCGCAAAATACTCCCGATCTTGAGCGCACTCCACCTGCTCGCTTCTGAGTTCTCCCTAGTACATTACAAGCACTCGAAAACGTATCAAAACGAGGCGGATTTTTGGAGGAGAAGAGGGCTGTGGTTGGCGCACAAGCGCCGAATGAAGCAGAGTGGAGAAATGGCACCGTAGAGCGCCGAAGCAGGGACGCCATATCCGTCATTACAGCCACCATGGCTCAAGGCTACGACTACTACTACAACTAAGACTACGCACAAGCCTCTCACTCGCCGCAGCACAAGCTTCCTCAGAGTTCCTGAAAGCTTGTGGTTCTGTTATCCGGACGCCTCGTTCTCCTCCTTCTGTTCTCACGTCCCCAATGAGCTCCCTACGTTGTTCCCAAGTTCCCACATCCTGTACCGGTCCGGACGCTTCCACGTGTCAGCACTGGATAAGCCCCCGTGAATCAATACAGCTTCCTTAAGATTTTAATTAATTAAGAACTTATTTACTTAATTTGATTAGTTTACCTAGTTTAATTATTATTATTTGTGAGAGTGTGTGTGTGTGAATATCTATAATCTTGGGTAAATATAATAAAGTGAAAATAGATTTGCAATTTTCTTTTTTTTTGTTTTGTTTTTTTCTTATATTGTTTATCATGGGAAATATTTGAATGCAAAATATTAGAACAACATGTGTATGTGGATGAAATTATGTACATACAGATATAAAAATAAGATCGGTATATATATATATATGTGTGTGTGTGTGTAAGAAATATAACCATCAAAAACTATTTTTGCACCAATTAGTTATTTAAAGTAATTTCAAACTATTTTATTCTGTGTGTGGGTAGTAGCGTTTTGTATCTGACCTCTAAATATACTGGTATTTCTCTTGTAATTTTTAATAGGATCATAAGTAAATAAAAAGATTAAAATAAGTACCTTTTATGTTTTATACTATACTCATGGATTGAATTTATAAGTAAATTGCACAAGTACCATTTTAAAGTTTGGTGAAGAGGTGTCAATTTTTAATGAAAATTTAAATTTCATTATATGACATTTCAGTATTTCATAATTGCTTCAGAACTCTCTAGCATTAATTCTTTCCCACATGCCCACAATTTATTGAAGCAACAAATAGTAACCTGCAGAAACTAACCTTATTTTTTTATAAATTGTAAATAATAAACATTGACATGATGATGGCTCAAGTATATTGTAATAGATTCTGATAAAATCTACAGGCATGATTTTTGATTGATTCTAGGCAAGATACTGTTAACATAGAAAATAAATAAATAAATAAATAATGTAAATATAATTTCTGTAAGTTTTTGTGTGATCAATGGCATCGGTTCTAGCTAATACACAAGAAAAGAAGAAGGTCATACAACAAAGGAAATGCAAGAAAACAACGAGGTAGATAAGAGACCTAAACAAGAGAAATAGCAAATTATACAAAGAAACAAACAACAAGGAAGTAAATAAAAGATCCAAACAAGCCCAGTCAGTAGCCAAGGCTTTACCTTTTCATTAATTAGAGCATTGATCGAAGCTCTCAGGGATAAGATATTACCAAACCATAAAAGCATTTCAGGAGGTTCCTTCAGGTTTCACAAACGGTGAACTTCTGAAGAAGCTTCGCCTTCACTTTAGTGAGATTAATCCTGAAAGTTAGCGATACTGCAAGAGGTATATGTTCGTTGCAGAGAAAAATCTGATTTTTCCTGTGAGGCAATTTCTGTACATTCAACCATGTGGATCAGAGGTTTTGCAACAGATAATATAAACACCATGTTTGGCGAGGGAGAGCAACCATGAAAACCCAAATCGTGTTACAACTGAGGAATAATAATGTACAGTCTTGCCCTGCAGCTGCAACATTTGCCAAAACAGACCTGTCCAAAACTGAGGTATCATGAAGAGTGAAATGGAGAAAGCCCCCCAAAGAAAACTAAAAAACTAAGAACTAAAAGTTAGAAAAAACTAAATAAACTGTGGCTTTGCCTCAGGGTGCATCGTGTCCAATCCACACAACACCAAGCTATGAAAGAGAAACTACAGCCGCCATCTACAAGTCTGGAGTGCCTGATGACGAAAACGCAAAACTCCTCCTAATCTCCCAAGTAATCTCCACTTGATGCATTCACTTGGCTTAACCTGCCTGGCTCCGACTAGATGCTCTACTTTGGACCAACAAAGGTGAGAACATCACCGTCCATCAACTGCAGTACCAAAATCGAGAGGTTTTTGAGGGATACTTGCCCTGCTGTCATCCACCCCACAGAAAGAATCGTTTTCCAAATCCTGCCACTGCTTCAAAGCTTCCGGTAACGTGAGCTGTAGGTCTATTTCTTCACTACCCTCTCCGACGAATTTCGCAGGTTTCCACTGCTCTATCAAAGGTTTCAGGATGTTCACTGCGTGGCCCATGTCTGGCCGCTGATACGGCTCCCGGGCAGTGCACTGAAGCGCTAGGTCTGATACGACGTTGAGACTCTTGAGGGTTTCTTCGGTCATGGTGATGGTTGGGTCGATGCACCTGGCGAACGTCTCTGGGCTAGTGTTGGTTCGTCGGAACCACGTGACGAGGTGCATGTTCTCCTCAGCCTCCGTCTCATCTAGAGCTCTCCTACCAGTCATCATCTCCATCAAAACAACGCCGAAGCTAAAGACGTCCGCTTTTGTGGTCACACGACCCGTCACTGCCACAAAGGTAGACAGGAGACAAGCACGTGAACCCATCAGCAACGATGAATGCATGACAAGCTTTACCATACAATGAACAAAACCTAAGGTTCAACAGCAGTGAACCGAACAAACGGTAATCTGACGGTCGAATCTCGATCTTTCGCAAATAGTTTCACCCGTGGCCAGCATCCGACCTCAGAACCGTCTTGGTGATCACTGAACAAAAGAAAAGAAAAGAAAAGAAAAAAAAGAAAAGAAAAAAAAGTGCCTCATCTGGTGTATGGTGTATTCGTCCCCGTATAAAACCAAAAACAAAAAGTACTATTGTCAAGACCTCTAGAAGTATGCATTCCTGTGTACAGATTCAACAATAAGCAGCAAGCAGTAGAAACAGACCTAAAGTCTACTAATGGGTTGTGAGTACCAGCACGAGGACAAGGAAAGTGCTCTCACCTGCATATTCCGGAGCCAAGTACCCAAAGGTACCCGCCAGCCTCGTCTCGACAGAGAAGTTATTCTCAGGCGCCAGCTTCACAAGACCGAAGTCCGATACCTTGGCAGCATACTTGTCGTCCAGTAGAATGTTGGATGGCTTCAAATCGCGGTGTATGAAGCTCTTGTGCGCCAATCCATGAAGGTACTCTAACCCCCGCGCAACATCCAGGGCAATGCTCAACCTTCTCGTCCACTCTAGCGGTCTCACACCCATGGCCTGGTACTCAAAGAGGTGCTGGGCTAGAGTGCCCTGTGCCATGTACTCGTACACAAGGAGCCTCTCATTCCTGTGCGCGCAGTATCCCTTGAGCTCTACGAGATTTCTGTGCCTCACTTTCGACAACACCGAAATCTCTGACTGGAATTCCTTAAGCCCTTTATTGCTCATCACAGCGGCTTCCATTCTTTTAACTGCGACCATTGTGCCATCGGGGAATGTTCCTTTGTAGACAACTCCGAAGCCTCCCTTCCCGAGCACATTCTTCTCGGCGAAACCTTCAGTCACATCTCGCAGGATTTCGTAAGAGGTTCCGAGGCTGTCACCCTCACCCACCTGCATGTCGCTGGGACCGCTGTAGTTAGTTCTCGTGCCGTCATTGGCGCGGTACTCTGCCAATGTCTTGCCCAGCTCGGGATCCGAGCCCGAGTCTCCTCGCGGATGCACAACCGTGTTCTGTCCTTGTATTAGCGCCGAGTACTTCTTCTTCTTCTTTCGCCTGAAAAAGCAGAATGCCAAAAGTGCAACAACAGTAACCAAAGCTAGGGCTCCAACAATAGCACCCACAATGACACCCACCGACGTCGAAGATGAGGATGAGGAGCTGGCGCCGCCAGGGGTATTAGGAGTAGCGCCGGGCGTTCCTGGAGACGGAGAGGTGGGTGGTAGAACGGTACCGAGAAAAGGGTTCCCTGAGCTCTGAAAGGTGACTCCAGGTCGGAACTTGGGGATCTCGCCGGAAATATTGTTATTTCTTATATCGAGGGTAACTAGATCTGGCAAGGTGGTGAGCTGATTAGGTACAGACCCAGTAAGAGTGTTGTTGTTTAGGAGGATTGATTTCAACGTAGTAATGTTTGCTAAGTACGGCGAAATGGTTCCCGTCAAACCGGAAGACGCAAGAGAAATGCTGACAACACTAGTTCCAGAACACCCTATGCCGATCCACCCACACGGGTTTGCTCCGGTCCAGGCCTCAGAAATGGACTGAGGATAGCCAACACCTTTCAGGAACTGTATCAACGCTGCGACCTCGACAGAACATTGCGTGCCATCGGTGGAGCAGAAATCGACATCGTCAAAGGTCGGCACAACTGGGAAAGAAGGAAGCTGGCCGCTGAGAAAGTTATTCTTCAAGAAAACTGTTGTGAGCGGCAACTTGGCCAGATCAAGAGGAATCTGCCCAAGGAGACGGTTGTCGTTTAAACGAAGATCCGAAAGCCCTGTGGAGGCGGCGAGGCCATCGGGTATGGGACCTGTAAGCTGGTTCACCTGCAGCCACAAGACCCTCAACGCCGGCATTGCCCCGCATGGCGCCATAGTGCCTTTCATCCCCGCCTGATTGTTCACTTGCAGCACTTCAATGTTAGACCCAGCGAAAGACGCTGGAATAGACGGGATGTTGTTGTAGGCTGCCAACAGGACGCGCAGGCTCGCCATGGTGCCGAGGTACTCCGGAAGAGAGTTCAGGTTGGTCGAAGCCACAGAGAGATTCGTGAGCTTCGTGGACGCAGTGATATCCTCAGGGATGGTCCATCCCGCAGTCCCATTCAAACCCAAGTTTCTGTCGATGTACAAATTGACGACGTTTGTCAACCCTCGGAAGAAATCTCCCGGGATGCTGGTGAAGTTGTTCTGGTGCAAGAATATGTTCTGCAAGTTGGCCATGCCTGCGAGGGACGGCATTGCACCTGTGAAGCTGTTGCCGTTGAGCTCCAGATACGTCAAGTCCGTCATCTGATTGAGAGTAGACGTGACCGTCCCCCCGAGACCTGCTTCGCGTAGCCGTAGCTGCACAACGTTGCCGCCGGAGCAGACCACCCCAGTCCATCCTGCACAAAAGTCCGTCCCAGTCCACCCCAGGCTCGCACCATTTGCAACCCCTTTCAGAAAGTCCTGCAATACAGCACCATCGTCGGGCGCCCCTACTGCCGCCAAGACGCAGCACAAAACTAGAACGGTAACGCGGAGAACCCAGTTCCTTCCATGTTTAGTTTTCATTGCACATACTCTCGCCGCCGTCCTGACGGTATCGAACCAAAACAATGACTCTTCGCTCCAACAAAGCCTCACTGAAACCCTCGCATCCTTCACCGAAACCGCGCCTGAAAGACTACAGTGTACGTCTCTGGCCAATGCCTGCAACAAATTACAGGAAAGGAACAACCGTCTTTAACAAAAGAAACAGGAAAATCAAAATAAAAATCAAAGCTCAAGACGTGTTGAAACGCACGTAAGCAATCTTTCTCCAGAAAAGAACGCGCACCACTACCCGAAATGACCCCTCCCTTCCTCTCCCTCTCTGAATACTGCAATGTCCAGAATTAAACTATTCAGCCAACCAAACTACGTAAACCACCGCAAATCAAGCCCCACGACGGATCACCACGACTTCTCTGACACACAAACGGCAGCATTAAGTATCAAGGTCGGTGGCCTTCCGACGTAACTTATTCAACGCCCACCGCTCCACTACCCAAGAAAAACACACGCTCGCGCATCTCCGAATGGGCATAAAAATTATCAGCAACAACAACAAATAAAAACAAAGAAATTTCCCTGGGAGCGACGACACAGCGACACAGATAACCAAAAGCACATGCCGCCAGAGCTCTTCACCCTGCAAAAGAAAGCGCTAAAGCAACCTACATTGTATGGTGAACCAAAACAAAGCTAATCTCCCACCACCACCACCACCAGACACACACACACACACTGTCACAAATGGGTTACAAGATTAGTGGCGAAGCACACGCCTTTCCACTCTCAAACACACTCACCCACCAGGCAATGCTCAATTCTCCGAATCCCACCAACCCAAGTCCGCACCGTCACACCAGCAATCGTGAGATTGAACTAAACGAGCCAGTTATGGTCTACTCTGGTAGACACAAGCGTGAGCTGAGCTTCAATTGGGGTGCAGTAGAGGCAACGCGCTGCAGCAGCAGCAGCACAGCGGGTGATAGGTAACACAGCAACGACAGTAGGGACAGTAGCAGAGGGAAGGAGGGGGTGGGGGATGAGCAGCGAGTTGTCGCATTCCATCGAGTGGGCATGCCAGGGCAGGGCAGGCTGGACCAGGCTGGTGCTACATTGCTCCTCTTCTTCGTGAGCACTGGTAACAGGCGATGCTGGCGAGGAGGAGGAGGAGGAGAAGGGTCAGCAAAGTCCCGGCCTTACGCCAGATGGATGGAAGGGTAACGCACACGCATCGGGAGGAGCCGTGACTACACGACGACGATGGAGCGCGGGGGGGCAATGAGGTTGGAATCTGTGATGGCAGTGCGTTTCAGCAGCAGAGATTATTGCGTTGCCATGACTGACGTGGGATTCCCAGTTCCGCCGAACCCCGTGATCTCCGCCGCCACGGCGCCCAGTTCCGTTTGCTCCCTCCCTGGGCCTTCCTCCCTCATCGCCACAGATCGTCGTCAACTGGGTGGGGAAGGAAGGCAGGGAGGGAGGGGATTAAGCTGCAACTTCCAATTCTCCTCCTGCTCCTGATTCTGATACCGCTGCCACTCACACAACTCCACGGAACGATTGATTACTGCTGGTGATGGTGTCCTTTTTACTGGGTTCTCGTGAACATCGCCGCGCGCGGGCGAGCTCGGACTCGTCGGCATTCGAGGGTCGCCGCGGGGCCGCTCGGTGACGCCAACCCGCGTTGACGCGTAACATGGTGGGGGGAAACCATCGGCAGCGGCACCTGTAGCTTGCAAACTGGCGCCGCTTTTCCTTTAATTAATTAATTATTTATTGTGGAAACCAATGACGAAATGCCAATACTACTACAACATTCATACAACCTGAGGGGAAGATGGAACTCACTCACCTGGTGAATAGTGATGGGATAAAATGTGAATAGTGAGTGATAAGACAGATTTGGTTATTTATGAATGATACTATTCTCTCTCTGTAGTTATGTTACACTGGGCTAGAGAAAATAAATTTAAAGTGCAATCTTCCCATTCTTTTGCTAGTCCTCCTTTTCACTTTATTATACACGTCACATACTTATTTCAACTGGCAGAATCTTGTTGCTCCATGTTTTATTTTTGCTTTTACTGTTTGTTTACCCCACCTCATAGGCATCTTTTCTCATTTGAACATCCATAATTAGCTAGAATTTGAGGAACAGGAGGGAAGGGAGGATTTTTTATTCTGGGAAATGCTGTGTTTTACAAGAGACCTTCGTCTCTATTTATATATATATATATATATATAGTTGAGGGGTTTCTGTTTCTTCCTCCATGAAGAAAAATATGAATTCATATTTTAATTTGTGGGTCTGTTTTTAAAATGCTCTGGATGAGTCAACAACTTTGTGATGCACAACTTTGTCCACATGCTCGTGACATATATTTGTTCACCAATTTTGTTGATCCAATGTTTCTTCTAAAATATATTTTTTCACATTTAAAAAAATAATATGTATTTTAAAACGGGAGGGTGGGGGGACATAGAGTCTAACTGTTTACCAAACCCTCAACAAAGAAACTGGATTCATCAATGCAAATTTTTTCAAAAATATATATTTTTTTCCCATCCCATATTGCTTAAAGTGTCACTGAAACACAATATGTAAGTTTAATCATTATATTCACTAATACATTAAAAAACAATAAATTCAATGGTGTGCTAATACCCAGTAACAGCACTTACAAAAGTAAAAGTAAAAGTAACACTGTGCTGGAGTCTCATGGAGTTGAATGCTTGCAGGGAATAAGATGGGGAATATTCGACCAGGGGGGTGATTCCACAATGTTTTATATTGGACTACATTGGTTGAGCTGGCGCCTCGAATTCGAAGAAATCCCTGGCTGGGTGGGAAAAGGAGCTTGTGCCCTTGCCACGAGGGCCTGGTCGAGTCTCCGTCAGCATCGCCAGCGTGGCGGGGTGGTGGGGCAAACGTCCAATGGAGGTCCATGCTGTGGATGCCAGCTGGGTCTGCTCAGCTTTGGACTAGGATCCTTGGGCCATGTCAGCCGCGTGGGGATAGGACAACGGTCCGGTGATTGTGAGGGATCGCTCACGGCCACACGCTCCCCTTTTTCGTCCCCACGCTGCGTTGGCCCCAATCCCGAGGTTCATGAAAGGGGATAGTTTGTTTTGTATGGAATCAATTAATTAATTGGAACAAAAATGGGTTGTGGGCAGGAGTGACCATAATAGAAAAAAAGACAAAAAAAATATTATAAAAGTAAAGGAAAAAAACAAAAAGACGAAGGGAGTGAGAGGAGTTTTAAGGACAAGAATTTAAACTCACTTTTTGTTGTTGTTGTTGTTTTTTTTTTATTATTATTATTTTTTATTTTATTGAGAGTAGTGCAATCTCTTTTGGCTTTCCACCTAAACTTTCATTTAAGAACAAAGTTTGACACAACCACAAGCAAAAAGGAGAAATATGTTTATTTTATTATATTTAAGAATATTATGGATAAATTGGTTGATGGTTGGCATCATATGTATGTTTTGAAACAATTGGTGACAAAATTTGACGGATGCAAGGTGGGGTTTCTTTTAAACAAGGATTGGGTATTGATATTCATTTAATTATTATTATTTTGAGACATTTTTGACAATAATGATAATAATAATAATAATAATAATAATAAACATTTTTTACAACCAAATATATTTTTAAAAAAATTGAATTAAATCTTTTTTAAGTCAAATATTTAAAAAATTGAAAATAGATTGAGGTTAAGGTTTTTTAATTTTTAATTCATTTCCTTCATTGAAAAGACATTATAAAATTCATAATTGAAAGTTCGTTCATTAAATATGTATAAAATATCACCTTAAAAAAAATTAGAGAAAACAATTTCTACCTACCTACCAAACTGAATAAAATAATACTAAACTCATGATAAATAAATAACATTAATTATATAATTAAAAACATCAAAAATATGAGTTTCATTATGTTTGTTTATTTTGATATGTTTGCATTCAAATGAGTGATTTTATTATTACTAATATTATTGTTTTCATCATTATTTTTTGTTGAACTAAAAATAATTAATTTTTTGTACTACTTAATACTATAAACTTGTTTATAATATTCTACTTTTGCACAACTAAGGAATTTTTATGAATTTAGTAAATATTATTTCAAGTGAAGAACAAGGAAAATAACATCCTCATAAGTATGATGAACACGAGTGTTCTAATTGATGCATTATTTTCCATGAATAAATTCATCTGGTTTCATGAAAAATGTAATGACTTTTATTTTTCTATGATATATTGCTTTTATATTTCATGAACATAAGGCGTTAAAAATGTTTTCTTTTACAAACTTACTTAAAAATTAAAAATTAAGTTTTTAGATTTTATCTCTCATATATATATTTTTTTGAAAATTAGATAAAATAGTTTCTACATTTACTATTTGAATTCAAAAAACATGTAAAATAAGTTTTGTTGTTGATGGATGTTGAAACATAGTGTATTTCTACAGGATGCATTTTTTTTTTTACATAAGAAATACAATTTAATGGCTATCAATTTTTTGAGTAAATATTTGAATTTCTTACCATTTAATCAACATAATAGACTCTTCTTCTAGTAGTAGAATCTTTGTTTATTTATTTAATACTTCCATGACTTTGGCTCTAAAGCATTGTTACATTTTTGAAGTTCTTGACAACAACATAACTTTGAAATAGATATTTTGGTAATATATATATATATATATATATATATATACATATGCTAATTTTTCTAGCCAAACATTACAAATAAAAATTGCTTCCAATTTACCTTGAAAGATCAACAAACCCACTATTGAACAATCTTGCAACTGTCGATTCTATTTAGTAATGTCAACCAGCTTTTTGAAGGCTCACAAATTCTCATTTATTGAATGATTTGAAAATTTCTTTTTTATATATATATATATATATATATATTTGAAAAGAAGAACTATATATTATAATGGTGGGTGGTATAATTGTAGATGGGCTTCCTGTATCATTCCAATTTTTGTGTATTAAATATTATTGCCATTATTGTAGAGAAGATTTTTGTTTTCTTTAAAAAGTTTGAATGAATAAGATTATTGTTTTAACATTAACCTATTTTTTTGATATAATAGGTACATTGATAAGAGCTTTTTAGAACATATTCGGTTGTTGAGAAAATTATGTGCCATTTACTTCCATATGGATCATTTGGGAGGCTCTTTTTACATGCTTGAAAATCTTTTCAAAAATTAAAATTAATTATAATGTTAATTAGATAATACTAAATATAGACATTATTGTCTAATAGAACTTTTTTTTTTTTTTTTAGATGAAACAAGAATTTTCGAATAGTAATTTGCTTTAGGAAGGTTGATACAACAATTGCCTCTTGCTCAATATTCTTCCTATTTTTATGTTTTGAAAACATTTCTATTATTAAACTTCCTAAACACACTCACAATTGATAAAAGCCAATCTATTTTATCCCATAAAGAATGTTTTTTTGTCATAAACAAGATAATCTTTGCATTGGCAACATACAATTTTATTTGTGTATTAATACTCGGCTCTTGTTTGAGAACATCACAATTTGCAGTAATTCATGTGGAAATTATAGGGAATCAGTACAAGTTGAAGTATTTAATTTTTTTGTTGCTACATATGGTGTAATGCTATTTTTATTTATTTTTATTTATTTATTTTAATTTGGATTACAATAAGAATAGTTCAAACCATGGAAATGAAAGCATAAAATTCATGAAATCAGCAATAGAATAGAAATATAACTAATAACATAAATAAATAAATAAATAATCTCTGCAAGGTCAAAATAAAGCCCATTTGACAATGTTCTTATTATGTTTTTTAAATATGTTCTATTAGATGTGAAGATTGTAAAATTATGCAACTAGAATGCTGCTTTTTCACTTGTCAAATGCCATGATGTTAGATAAATGGGTATAATACCACAAACATAATTAAAATATTATGTGGGTGTTATAAAACCTGTTGCATGTTATCATCTCAAAAAATAAAAATAAAAGATATTAAACAATTATTATATAAACTTACTTCAATGTAACTTGTGCGTTAGGTATAGGTATTGTGCACCGAATATATGATTGTAGCATTATATTATTTTATTTTGAAAGTGCTTTACTTATATGAATACTAATTGATAAAGGATGTTGATTAAATAAAAAACTTTGAGTGAAGTATATTTTGGATGAAACGTTTTTTTAGAAATTATTTAGTAGTTGTTGTTATTTTATTTTTCTACACTTTTGTTAAATTTATCACTTTGAATCATTTATTGGTGTTTATTGCAACAAGGACTAAATATTATTAGACAAATCTTGTAACTTGGCTATATAACCAAAATGACACCAAAATTTATAGTGAATAAAAAAAAAGAAAAAAAAGAAAAACTTTAGTTCTCTAAAAAAAAAATGTGACAAAATAAAAACACATCTACATAGCTAGAGAAGAAATAAATGATACTAACCTTGATATTAACCTTATGTTTTTGGAAGCTCTAGGATTCATGAATAGTTATTAAAAACTAATTATTAGACGTTTTGATCCTTCGACTGTCTTTTAAAATTACATCAATTTAATCAAATTTAAAAATATTATCACTTTTAATTGGGATTTTTCATTGCAAAAATAATTGAAGAAAAATTCTAAAAAAAATAAATATATCACATTGAATTTCTCTTAACATATTAATAAAAAGATCCTTTCACTTGAGTGAAAATATATGTTGTCTACGACACTATCTACAACTTCACATATTCTACAACAAAAAAATGTTAAAATATTTATTTTTTATGCAATAAAATTTGCATTAAAATAAAATAAAAAACATTGTCATATTATATTCTATATATATATATATATATATATATCCGCTTATAAAAATCAGATGACTAATTAATCTATGAAGTTTTATTTTATTTTATTTTTATTAACAATTCTACTTGTTTGATATCACCCAAAATAAATATTAAAATATGAAGAACCTACAAATGTATGACAACGGTAGCAATTATGAAAAGTTTAATTTAGAAAAACAGTTTAGAACATAAAAATATGAGAGAAGCATAAAAATAAGAAATAAAAAATAAATTTAAAATTAAAGAAGAAAGAGTACAAGAATCAATTAACTAAGTGTATCTTGATATTTAACTATGAAATCATCTGAGTTGTTGTGCAGGTTATTGGGAATATGACATATAAATATGTTCTCAAAGAATTAGAATCTATTTAAAATTTAAAAATTCAAAATATAAAAACATTCTCCTCTACAACATTAAGGTTAAAGTTTGCATGTATACATAATTTGTATAAACTGATACACACAATAAAATCATCTATTATCAACACATAAATTTAAATTTTCATATTTTACGTTTATTGATCAGTGTTCAAAAGTTATAGAACTAGTTATAAATTTATTATTAAGATTGAAGACTTTGTATCATGGAGCAGCTTCTTTTATTAAACAAAAGAATAAACATAAATTAATGATACAATCTAATAAATCTAAATAACAGTGCAATATCAACGTGTCTTAAAAAGTAAGTAGAATAAGTTGTATACTTATAGAATTTTTTTCCAAACAATAAAAAAGTAAATTTAAAACACCTTCACAGTATTTTTTGGCACTTCGTTAAGAACACATGTGATTTATTATGTACATACTTAACATCATATCTCCATGAATGCACTACATTTATCAATCCATCGTCACTTTTTAAATAATTTTTATTTATAATTCCTTATATATATATATATATATATTTATTGACACACACACACACACACACATATATATATATATATATATATTCCTCTTTTCGACCCATTGTATTTTTTTTTTTGTAATATTTAAATAAAGCGTCCTTATCTTTTCGTTGGCACTATTACTGGCATCTTACATCATCTTAGAAGACGTCAAAAGAGGGAAATGGATTGAAAAAGACTTGTCCAAACAACACACATGATCCAATCCTCCCAACCAAAATTGAACCTCCATTCACACTCCATGTTTGACATTCTATAGCGTCTCCAAATTAAAATTAAAAATAAAAACAAAACCAAAAAAAATCCAAAACAGGGCTCCAACAAGAACAACATTCAACACAAGAGCTAAATAAAAGAAAGAATCCAAAAAAATTTCTTGCAGCCTCAGCTTCCTGTTCCTCTTAAAATAAAAAAAAGTGAACACTTTTTTCGCAGTTATTTCGAGCTTGAAATGCAACATTCTTGGAACTATTTTTCACTTATCCATTTCTCCAACTCATCTCCCCACCTGCTATTCCAAGCCACCAACTCCAAACCTCAGTTCACAAAAACATTGTAAAAAATGAGCAGAATCAGACACAGAAACGGCACGTTCAAGTGTCAGAGAACGACCCCATTTCTGCACGTGGAAGCTTCCAAAGGCCATGTCAGAAACGAAGAAAATACTCACTCACTTACTTACTCTAACTCACTCCCTCACTTCCTCATTCTCCTCAACCCCATGGCTGCGGCTCTCTCCCCCACGTCACCTCCAGCTAGCAACACGAAAAAACACCACATGACTGCAGCATTCTGCAACCCCACAAAAAACAAGGGTGTCAGACAAAGCCAGTCAACACATGGAAAACAGACAGAATCCAACACGGTTGTAGTGGGGGAGTAGTTTCTTACGTGAAGGATGCTCATGGCAGAGCAGATCATTTGCTGTCGGAGAGTGAGGGAGTGAGGGGAGTGAATCTGGATGGACCCAGCTGGGTTGCAGACTTGCTTGCACTGGTCCAACCAAGTCTATCTTTGCTTTCACTGATCAAACTCTGCTACCCCTGATGATGCTCCAGGACTAGGTCAAGCTGTGGAAACGTACATCTGTCCGTCATGCTCAGAGTTGTCTCCCCACTGCTACACGCCTATTGCCTTTCTGAGCTGTGAGAGCTCCTTTGGTGCTGCGAGGGGAGAGCAGTATCTAAGTTACCGCTACCATCCTTTCAGTCTAGCGGTGCTCAGCATCATGTGTTATTGTTTTAACACATATATGTTTATTTCGTTGTCAGTTGAGTGTGTGTTAGGTTATGTTCTTTTGACTAAATGTTTTACTGTGGGACCCACCCCCATTATCTGACAAACTGCAATGAATTATATAAAATAGATAAAATGAGTGGTTGGTTTGAATAGTCGTACATGTTTCATGCTTTGCTGAGTATATGCACAGACGGTGCGAATGGACAAGTGTGTTGTGCGTTTGAAAAAATACGGCACCCTCTGAAACGGCATGTGTTGGCATAGACCAAGTTTTTGAAGTGGCTATTAGTGTATTGATGTTGTCGATGATGTAATTACAGAATCTACAGAATGCTTTCTTCTTTCTCTATCTCTCTCTGAATCTGTCTTCCCTTCTAGTTTCCATTTTGTAAGGATTATAAAGAGAGGTCCAGGCTTATCCAGATTCTGATTCAGACTCTTCGCGTCCTGCAGTCAAAACGTCCGCGCTTGGAACAAAGGAGAACTCGCAAGCCAACGCCAAGTGGTCACTTCCCCATTTCTGCAGACAACAACCCAAAATTGCATTAGGGGAATCTAGATGTTTGCGGACGAGAATGCCGCAAAAACTGTGGAGTAGAGCAAGCCGAATACCACGTCAGCTCTTTACAAAACTACTACCTTCTGGTTGATGCATTCCTTTCACAGAATTAGACAATCGTTACAGGCGATTTAGAGACCACACATTTCTGTAGAAATTTATTTCATCATCAAAGTGTTGATGGCTTTAGAACGTAGAATACTAATGTTTGAAGTACAAAACAAGCGTCGGCTATGCTTCTGATGATAAGCGGAACTTATTAGTCCATGTGCGCGTGATGCTTGTATATGACTTTGTGAGGAAGAAAAAACTTCAGACCCTTCTAGAAGAAAGGGAGGATAAGTTAGAGAATGAGACCTTCGAGGGAAGTCCTCCACAACGTTGGAGTACAGAAAAGGGAAGAGTGTCCAGAACTCTCACTGTGCATAGCTCATCTGTATGCCTGCATCATTCACCACCTTAAAGCTTGTAATATGCTCAGAGCTATTATGCTGGTATAATTAACTATGTTCTCAGAAACATCATGAGCAAGAAAAACCTCACCCAAATATCCAACTGCAGACAAAACCAAAATAAAAGGACAATGTGGGCTTACCAAATGTAATCGACAGTACCCTTAAATCTTTTGTGGTAAGACGTTACAAATGGTTCCCCTCTTTCATCCCTGCTCCCAGGCTTTCCCTGCGCGTAAGAAAAGCAGGGATAAGTCGTAGAAACGAGGTAATGCAGAACAATGCAGGAATTTACAGTCGTCATTTTATGGTTAGGAGTTTATGATACTGTGCTGATAGCAGAAATAATCCTGCATCTCTAATCCGAATGTCTTAACACTAGCGTAAGTCCTTGGATGTCGCACCAACATCCAGTTGCTCTCGCACAAGAAAATTGGCAAGAGATTTTAGCATACGCTGCTACGACAAGATTTCAAAACAGACAATAATTGTTTCATAAGTTCAATGATGGCAGAACATCGAGTTGCATCATTCCTTTCCAGAATGTATGAGATCAATATTGACAGGTATAAAGGCTACACTCGAACTTCAGATTGTCAATTCTACTCCAACGTTTTCACTAGTGTCAATCTCAAGTATCAAAGAGTTCGAAGTAAACCTTGATTTCTGAATACGCGCTTCGCAAATTTAACTTATGTCGAACTATAGATAAGTGCCTCTCCCCAGTAGATGTCATCAGCTCCGATTCATCCCAACCCTGCACCCTGATGCCATGAAGTTCACCGAGTTTGCATTAACTCACTAACCCTGGAAGGAAAAATGGCTGAAAAAGCATAGAGAAGCATCAGCATTGGACCAAAAGGAAGTCTTGCCTGGAATACATGAAACCGGTGAAACCGAAATCATACAGAAATGCCAAGCCATCACAATGTCACAACTGAATATCAAGCGCAATATAGAATCGCATTACGTGCAAGGTGTACCACATACCTCGTCGATTTAGGGTTTCTTTCCAGAGTTACTTTGGTCGTCTTTAGTTGAGAAGTTTCAGTTTCCAGAGTTACTCTGGTCGTCTTTAGTTGAGAAGTTTCAGTTACCAAATCTAACTCTCCAATTGTAACCACTGCAGATTCCTCCTTATCTGTAATTTTCAAAGAGACCATGCTCCTCACAGACTCCAAAATAAACTCCTCTTTGGTTCCTGGATTTATTACTTCGCCTCCTGACTCAGTTCCTACCTCAACTTCAGCCTCAACTCCTGATTCAGCTCCTACCTCACCTTCAGCCTCGAGTCCTGATACAGTTCCTACTTCGTCTCTTGTTTCAGCTACTTGCTCAGATAGTGCCTCATCTCCTGCTTTACCTCCTGCTACAGCTCCTGCATCCTCTCCTGATTCAGCTCCTTCTTTACCTTGTGCTGCAGCTTTTTGAGATAACTCAAGGGTCCTCCCATTCCTATCATAAAAGATTATCCTTAACCATTACAACTGGCCACATGACCAAAGTACTGATTGAATGTATCCCCTGTGCACGTACCGCAGCAATAGCGAGACTAGTAGCAAGTCACTATCAGCAACTGATATAACAAGTGTTATATATTGTGATCTACAAGGAATATAGTTAACCACATGCTTCTTTGAATCACTTGAGCCAACTGATAGAAAAACCATACCCCTCATATTTATACGGGTTGTATTCATTTCTCTTGAATCCGTCATTTTGGTCCTCCTCTTGACCTGAAATGTTGCGCCGATCATGAAAAGCCAGGTCCAGCTGCACTTCACAATGTCAGAATGAACCAACGAACGTAATTGCAATGTTACTGTTTCATAATAATTCATTTGTGCATGAAAAAATCAAAATATAGGATGTGTATTATTTGCACCTGTGAAGAAGTTATGAACTCATACAGAGCACTCTGTCCAACCAGATCAAAGCCCAATTAGATGTTGAATTCCCATGACTGCCGAAGAAAAGCCGACTACATTCATCCAGCATAGTAACATATAACAGCAGGTCTCTAATCTACGAAGATTTACATCAGAATCAGCACAAACTAAAATTTGGTACTTTTCTAATCGACAACACTGAATTGCCATGAACCTCCTGGTTCTTTTAGTTTCTATTTTAAACTTGCTCAGTAAAAAAGAATTTGCACAAACAATATTCCTTCCGAACCATGCAGAAGCATCAGAAAACACAGAGCTTAAATATACGAAACAATTTCTTGATGGCATCATAAAATACTTCCGACATGAAGAAAGGATGCTACACTTCGCACGTACCCACGGTGTACTATTGAAGTCACCAGCTATAGCCAGAGGCGCATTTCCCCACTTTTCACAAATAGCGTGAGCTTTCTCCAAAAGTACTCTCGCCTGGAAAGTATGAGTCGTTACAAGTGAATTTCACGAGGCACATATCCACAAGCACGTAAAAACATAAAACTGGGTCTAAATGAAATACAATTCATTTTGTGTACATACTAATCTAGGGTGCTAGAAAATCAAGTTTGCGATACCAATAGCATGAACATAACCTCACGGGGCTCGAAACAACTAAATTCCAAAATTCGTAGAATATTACCTGACCAAGCTTGACATCTCCACGCTTAGGATTGAATAGCACGTGAATGTTACCCACAATTACACGGTTATTCTTGGAATCACATGACCTGTTCAACCAACCCAAGGTATGTCAAAAAGACTTAAGATCATTACAAGAGATCTTTTGCACGAGCAAGCCACCCTATCATCGTTTTGACGTGTGCCGAAGTCTAACTCACCCTGCTTATGTATCTATTTGAGAACAATCAAATCCAAATTCTATGCAAGTTAAATCTCCGAGTATCAAACTTGGCTACAAGAAAACAAAAGCTGGAACAGATGGATAAATCAAGCAGACATTCGAACATCGTCGCGTATATAACAACACTAGTAACCAAGCTGAGATCAACCTACAAATTCAGACCATCACAAACAAAACTTTTCAAATTCAGTCCCTGCAAAAGATTCACGGTCGTCGGCACTGCTTAACAAGTACAGACACAGCTAACCAACTAAGCACTGAAGTCCCACTATAAGTGGACCTAAATTTACCATACCTAGAAATAGTTCGTCCTGCCTTGTCCATGACTTCCGTGCAATTAAGCGTCTTACTCGTGCTCTTTCAAAGCAAATAGAAAATCACGTTCAGACATACTTAATCCAGTATGCAATTCAATAAAAGAATTGCACAAAAAGAAGGGCACAAACAGGAAAACCGCATGAAAAGGATAGAACCCTATTGTCACAATAACGCTAAAAAATGACAGAAATTCTGACTGTCCAAATTATTCAGAATATAACAGTACCTGCAAAACACACAGCTGAGCAACATTGTCACGGAGATCGTGGTCTTTGAATTTTATATGCTCTACCTCGAGTAACTCAAATCTGAGACCATAACGTAGGTTAAAAATGACATGTCAAAATAATTCAGGTAGAAATGCATCGCCAACATAAAATTTCCAAAAGAAACGACAGATAAGGATCTTACAAAATTTGCCATTCATGTGAGGAACACTTCCAGTGAGATACTGCGTAATAAATAGGGCTACTCTAGGTACAACTACTTGCATCCATGTCATTAGCCTGTTCATGTTCGTAACAATTACTAGTTGAAACCATTTGGCATAAAGTCAACATGCACAAAAACTTCCTCAAAAGTTAGGACTCATAGACTGAGCCCACGCTCTCCAGGTTCATAAGGCACCTGTTTTTCCTCCAGAAGATGGCACAGCCATCGTGTGCCTCTCCAGTACGAGCCTACAAAAATAAACAAATTTGATGTCGCAGCAAATGACATGAGCTTTGACTGAGTTTACAGTCATTTAAAGTTCAAGCTGGCGCAATTCTTGAACTCAAAAAATTCCACTGTTAAGTTAAAGCCTTCACAGAAAGCAATATGGCAATCGAGTTTCTGCACTAGATTCTCTGAAGGCTGTTACAGAAAAATATGAATGTCTTGTTTCCGCTATTCGAAGAAATTCAGAACTCAAGTAAAAATTAGTGAAAGGTTTCATATAGATATCACTTACCGTGTATACACCAATGTACTCTTTCTGAAGTTCTTCGTTGAGATCTTCATAATAATCCACTTCCTAAGAGCACACATATGCAAATCATTATCTAATGAAAGATTTTCAATGGTCTGAATGGACCACCAAAACTATACAGATATCTTCTTTTCTTTTTCTTTTATCGTTTTCCTTTTTTATTAAAGAATTGTACAAAATCGGGAGACAAGTTCTACGTGTGTAAAACGCTTAATAATCTCACTAAGATATACCTGTTTTCAACATAATCAATTCCTCGAAAAGATTTCATCAAAGTCTTAAATTACAGGCACACATCAGCTTCATCCATGGCGACGGCATACCAAGAACTACACACTGAAATCTGCTCAAAATCATATCACATCCTCATGAAAGTAAGATAAAAGGTTTACTTGAAAGCATATGATATCTGGAGACCAAAGTCCAAGCTCCCGCACGAGCTTCCTTTTGCGTGCATCCCAGTCAAGGAGGAATGGTGGTACATGCCAGTATAATTCGCTTCGGTGATTCCATACATTCCGATCGGCCAATATATTGTACGATACTATAACAAATCTTTCTGGGAAGATGAAAAAGTGAATCATTGTGTTCTTAGAACAGCTTAACAATCCTAGCCAGAAGAATATACTCGTACATGCATGACAAGTTGAACTTTCATAGGAAACTGCAAATGCAGCAACAAATGTTGAATTGAATGGAAAGTGAACACCACCGGTTTGCAAAACAGCATGATAAATAAAACGCACCGTGATCAATGGGTGGTGGATTTTCAGCATGAAGCCAGTACCGGTACTCATCATGGCTCAATCGAGCCCTCTCTCCTCCATAAGATCCATTTCTTCTGTAAAGATTACGAAATTGCATATCGAGTGAGCATCATCTTAAAGGTTCGAGTGGCTTTTTAATTGAAACATCAAGGTTCACAGCATCCTCGCAGCCTAGAATGAAACAAGCCTACAACTTAAGATACCCACAGGCTCTAAAACTAAACGCTGAAAACTGAAAAAGCTAACAATTGTGTGCGAAAAATTTGATAAGCAAATAGTCTTATGAAGTCATCAGAAATGACAACCCTCTTCTCCGGAATCTGTTATAACCTCCACGCGTAGTGCCCGAGCACCCTCCTCGTGAAGAGCTTGAGTAACCAGTCCTAGAAGCACCGTCGTTATTCGAGGCATTCATGCTCATCTGCATAAACAATCTCTTATAAACAAAGCCGAGATCTCTCTTGCAAGTGCTATCCAATGAAGGACTTGACGAATTGCGAGAAGGGATTGGCCTTCCTCTAGGCGAGCGGGACGTGGATGAGGCACTGCAATGCAAGAAAAATGAGAGATAAGTGATCAATGGTGGACCCTTGACAGCAATTTCAGGCAAAAAAGAAAAAGAAAAAGAGAAAAACACAAAACAAAACAAACCCAAAAACCCAGAAATAAATCAAAACTTTAGCAACATATCCACCAATTACATGCAAATCACTGTTTTCAGTTATTTTCCATTGAAACGTCCAGCGAACGTCAACAGTCCTAACGTCCGATCCGTCCCCATTCTCACAAAAAATTAAAAAAAATTAAAAAAAAAAAAAACAAAACAAAACAAAACAAACAAACAAACAAAACAAAACAAATTGCCAGGCAATAATAACTCCAAAACCGTCAAAACCCAAAAGATCAATTTTCCAGAAATTTCACAACACTAACTCAAATAATCTCGATTCCAAAATATCACCAAGGAAAACAAAAAATCTGGGTTCCTCTCACCAATTCTGCACAAAGCACCACTACTAAACCCTAAACCCTGTAAAAACGTCCATTAAAATCCACAACACTCCACTACGTCGATGACCTCGCAAAACCCACCGGGTCCAGTGACCGAACCATCACCTCCACAACAAAGAAAGAAACAGCAATCCCCAGCGCTCGCTTCACAGGCTACACGGCGCTTGCAATCCCGCAATTCACAGAACCCAATTCGGCGATTTACTTGCAACACCGTAGGCAGCGAGCGAGGTGAAAACTGACGACAGAGTCGGCTGAGGCGTGCTTTGTGGATTTCTGACCATCGTTGCATTGCAAATTGCGAGCCGAATTGGAGGGGAATTGCGACTCCGGCGTATCAAAGGGACGAATCCCGAGGAATTGAGAGAGAGTATGTGTGCGCGAATATGTGCAGATTTTGGTCCTCCACTTGGCGACGCTTCCTCTGTCGGTGTTGTGTGCCTTCCTCGTTGGCACCATTCTTTTTCCCCTTTCTCCCTTTTACTTTTACTTTTTGGCATTCTAATCCTTTCATACAAGTGGGTTCTTTTTGTTGTTTGACAAGCCATCCTCGTCATTCACAATCATCCCTTAGATTACGTGTTAAGGAGGTTGAATTACTCAAAATCAATACTTATTTTTAGTGCTATTGTGATAAGTATATATTCGTGAAAAACTTTTAAGTTGGTAGTTAAAGGGTGATTAGGGTAGCTTTGAAGAACTTACAATGTGTTAAATCAATGTATTGCGATTAGATGCATCAACACATGAACATAATTTTTATTTTTTTAGAGTACTTGAGATCAAGCATGAGACCCTTAGGTGTTGTATATTACTTTTTCATGTGAATAACTTCTCTAATAAATGTCTGATAAATGTTTAAAATTTACTTATATTTGTTTAAAGATGTTGTCTAAGTTTTCTTTTTAATTGCTGATAATTTTCTAACCAATATTCATTTGCAAGTCAAGTTCAAAAATATTTTTGTAAAGCTATATGTTAGTTTATATTCAATAATAAAATTACATAGAAAGGTCATGTTATACTTCAAATGACACATAATAGTCATACATCTATTAAAAGTATTTAATACTTGAAAGAAATAATAATCATTCAAGTGAAAGCACCCATAACATTTGTGTATTCTTAAACTTATATATATATATATATATATATATATTAAAAAAATAAATATAAATGATTTATATAAATTTTAACATAAAAACTGAATGTTGATTATTCAATTTGTGTTTTAGGAATACAATAAAAATTCATTTAAGAATTTTAGTTCTAAATTCTATTACTTAAAAAAATATCTATACATATTCTTATATATATACTAAAATTTTTAATTTTTAAAATTTTTAAGTGTTATTTATTGTTTATTATATATTTAATTTATTATTTATTTTTAAATATTTTTTTAGAACTTTAAGAGTGTAAAATTATTTAAGTAAGTTTATTTTAGTAAGTATGTATGTATGTATGTATGTATGTATGTATGTATATACATATATATATATATATATATATATATATATATACATATGTTTCAAAAAATATATCTTTTAATTTAATTTTCGTGTATTCATATTTTAATAAGATAAATTTCTTACTCTAAGCATACATAAAATAAGGTTTATGTTTTAAGTTCCAATAGTTTTGATAGTATATTGGCTTGATTTTTGTTGAAGAATAAAAAAATTATATATATATATATATATATATATATATATATACTTCAGCAATAATAATAGTCTAAATTTTATGTATTAAAATAATAATATTTAAACATGATTAATAATAAAAGAATTTTGTTTTATTTTGTAGAGTGTTCAAAAATACTATCATAGAGAAGCCAATAAAAATCATCTGTGTCTAGTATTATTTGTCATTTAAATATATAATACTCTTATTTTATAAATGATATATGTTATTTGAATTATATTTATTATAGAATTTTGATATATATATATATATATATATATATATATATATATATATATATGAAATCTTTATATATTTAATTAGAATCTATTATCCATATAATTCTAAAGATTATTAAAAATATTCTTCTTATAAAAAAATTGAAAGATATAAAAATATAAAGATAGATAAATGTCTTTTTAAGTTTCTAATTTTATAAAGCATATTGTATTTTCATACAAATCATATTTGCTATTGTAATAAGTATTTGGCAAAAATGTTTACATTATCTATAGATTTATGGTTATTAATTTAATAATATAAAATTGATGTATATGTATATATATAATATTCAAGCTAAAATTTTAAATAGTCTCCAAATTAACATATAGACCTTTAAAGAGACAAGTTGAAAAGAACACAAAGTATATTAGAGATAATATTTTGCTTCTTAACTACTAAAGATATATTGAGAATAGAATAAAGAGACATGCAATTCTATATAGATTATCTTTTTGTATGTGCCAATAGTTAGAATGCTAAATTTTTGAGTTTAATATTTTAATTAATAGCTCTATAGACATTATTTATTGTAAATAATAAAATTTTAGAAGAAGGTGTCATCAAGTAATTATTTTAAATCTTCATTTTTTATATCAATTTTAAAAATTCTTTAAACTATATATTTTAGATTTAAACATTTTATTATAAAATATTTTTTTTCTAAAATATCTATAGTTCCTATAAATTATATATAAATATTTGGCTGAATTTTGAAGTTATCTACATATTAAAAAAAATTAAAAAATTATATTCAGTTATTTATTTATTAAATAAGAATATAGTTTAATATTTTTTATGTAGCTATTAATATCCTAAATTATAGTTTTCATACATTTCTAAAGAAAATATTATAATAGATAATATTTTGTAAATTAATAAGAAGCCTATTGAGGTAAGATTAGATATGTAGTTTAGGTTTCAATTGTGGCCCATCATATAATAATAATAATAATAATAATAAAATAAAAAATAAAAATACAAACATAGCTCTTCTAAGAAGTGGAGGGTAGGTAAGAACTGAAGCAATCTAAGAATCAATCTTTGAAAAGATTAATAGGATACAACAATTTAAGCACAAAAGGATAAGAACTTATGACATTGCCATGAACTAGTCTTCAGATCATATATCTTGTTTGGACTAGCTTCTTAATAAAAATAAGCTATATTTATCTAACGTCATGGATATAACAAGCATATATTTATATATTTTGTAATATTTATATATAAATATGCATATATTTATATATATTTATATGTTTTAACATAATTTAATTTTTTGTAATAAGGCTATATAACACATGGAAATGAAAGATTTAGATTTTATTGAAAATGTGGATGAAAAATTTGGCACTTAGATATACAATATTCATGAAAAATATTCTATGATTTGTAAAATAATTTTTAAAAAATAAATCTATATATCTTATATAAAAATAATATTTGAAAGTGAAATTTTATAATCATTTTAATAGAGAATGTATAAATCAAAAATTTATTATAAAACTAAAATAAATTAAAATATAACTAATATATATTTTATCTTTTTCATAAAAAAATAATAAATAATAGATCCTTATTTATAAAATATTTTTATTTGAAAAAATAATAATAAATAAATTTTTTAAGTTGCAAAAAATTCTTTATGAAAACAAAAGTATCATGTATATTGAATGCTATTGTATATGAGAACAAAAAAAATATTGTTTGAAATAAGAATGATGGTTGTAAATTGGAATTGATAGGTATCTCCTAAGCAAACTTTAGCACCTATGTGAATGTGGATCAATGCAAGCCCAATGAGAAATGAATTTTGAGTTTTCAAACTACTTGTCTTCTAAATTGCTTGCCTTCTAAGTTGCCCACCTATTGATTTTTCTACATTTTCTCTTTTTGTTTCCATAAATTTGATCAATAATTGAGATTGAATCTAATCAAAAGTTGTGATCTAAATGCCTACCATGGCGGAACCAATTAATTGAGTAGAGAGGTTTTTAAGACACAATTATACAAAAAATAAAGCTATGGCACTCTATTTGCATATACTACTATTGTTACACCCTCCATTTTCCTTGTCCTTGCTTGATTCCTCGTCTTTGTTGTCAGCTTCTTTTTTTTCTTTTCTTTCATAAACATGTTTTTTTTGTGCATTGTTCCTTGCCAATACTATTTATCTTAAGGTAGCACTACCTTTACTATTTAGGATTATATTTTCCTTCTACTTGTTTTCCTCAATTTGCTTATTCTTCTAAGTTCCTCCTATTCCTATTCCTTCAGCTTCTACTCTTACAAGCATTGATATTCCAACTTTGCTTTTGTCTATCACTATTACTTTATTAAAGTGGCCATCACTACTACTATTCATGGCACTCTTTCAACCTCCATTTGATTTGTCTTTTTTTACTATAACTTACAACTCTATTTTTCTAGGGTGTCATTTCTTTCTCTAAATGCTTTTAGATCCACTTACACTAATATCTATCTATTTTTGTGTGCTTTTTTCATAGCTTTTTTTAAATTTGCATTATCATGAGGTATTTCTTTATATATTTTTATTACTACCTATCCTTTAGATCTCTACTTTCACCTAGTAGCATTCAATTTTTGTTTCAGTCTTAATGATTTCAATTAAAGAATTGAATACTTATGCTTGAATAAACCTTCAAGTCAATGCCATGTTTTTTGACTTCTAAAGAAGACTATTGTAGTTTATGACTAGATACTATATATGTATGTATATATTCATGTATTTATCTGGAATTTTCTATGTTATATCTAACTTGACAAGTTATATATATGCACTTTCATAAATTAATATATAAAAAATTTATTGATTTATTTTTGGCATTTTAACTTGATAATATTGTGTTGATCTTATCCTCCTCTTTTGACATATGCTCCATATATATTTAGCTACTCTTGACTAATTATAAGCTATATCTTAATAATTATTACAACCAAAATTATCATAATCATTTTTTAACTTTCATGACACTTTGCTTGTCATGTATTGATAACACTATCTGAAGTAATAGGTTTTATGACTATCAGTTGATTTAAAGATTACTAGACAATGCTCAGCAAATCCTTAATTCATATGCATTTATTTTCATGCATGTAATTTTTAAAGAAGTGTATTTTCCTACCTTTCCATGTTCAAGTTTTTTTAGATGGTTGTATTGCTCATTGAAACATCAAGATTTTTTTTACTTCAAATTATCTATTATGATTCTATATTTTTTTTTATTATTTATTTTTTTTAAAAAAATTAATTGATTATTTTGTGTTCATTACTTTGTATCTATAGATTAGTAACAACCATTTTCGGTCTTTATCATATAATATTGTTACCTACAATTATAGGCCTACATACATTTTAAAGAACTATACAATATATCTTGTCATTTTCTTCTTACAAAGCAAATAGTAGCCATTTTTT